GCTGGTGACTGTTGAAGTTCTCTTGATACTTGAGGGAGAAAAAGAAAAGCATGGAAAATCATCCTTACTGCAGAGGAAAGGATGAAACCGAAAGAAATTACAATTCTGCAGCTATTGTGCTCTAACAAGAACTTAAAGTCCCTAGAGGCAAATGAGTTGACTGGTTCCAGGCATTTTCTCAGGCTAGTGAGGGCTAAAAGGAGGTCTACCCTCTCTATTGGATAAGTGTTTCTATAGCTGGTTCTTGCAGCTCTCTGTCTAGACTTCAGATAATAAAGATGTTAAGAGTAACTGGACAGAAGTAACTTTTAGTCTTCTGTCGCTGTAAACTCCCAAAGTTTGTCTACTGCTTGAGGGCAGACTTCTGAAGAGCAATTGTCAGACTTGACAACAGAGGTCGCTCTTTAGCTTTTAGCTTTTGGGGACCACTTTGAAGTTAGTATGCGGGTTTCTTGTGAGCCTGAAAACCGTACTTTTTCAGCCCATGGTCCAAATAAGGTCACTGGTCTCTAGCCCTGTTCATGTAAAAGGGTTAAGTGTCTTACATTATTGTACAATACCAGGGAAAAGGGAGACAGTTTTGGAACACCTGCTTCTGGTATCTCTTGTCCATTCATACTTCTAAGTTATACTCATTATTGATGCTAGGTTAACTCGTATGTTATTAAGAGTTACATAATGACCTTAAAGGAAGATTTGATGGTGGTGGGAGAAAGATTAGGCCGAGGGGGTGGTTATTTGATTTTCCTAAGGGCTTGGAAGTAGCTATTTTATCATTTTTTGATGTTGTAGGTAAATTATTCAGTTAGCGTCAGGTTTGCTTCTTGGCCAGCTTATATTTGAGTGGGTCACCTGTCAGGCTGTCAAATTATCATGCTTTAAAACTGATTCCAAGCAATGCCCTGCAGCTGACCTATAGAAATGTGTCACAGTGAAACTGGTGCTGTTTTCAATTGAGTTTGACCGAGACAGTGTTTATAAACTATGAGTGATTTAGAAGGCTGCCAAACCCAAACCCAACTACCTGATTATATGTGTGACTGTAAAGCTTTTCTTTTCCATATCTATGCAGGTATGTGATGGGAAAGTATCTGTCCATGTTATTGAAGGGGATCACCGCACCTTGTTGGAGGGAGATGGCGTTGAATCAATTATTGGGATCATCCACAGCTCACTGGCAGAGCCACGTGTCAGTGTCAGAGAGGGTTAACTTCTGCTTGCTTACCACCAATGGTGAAGAAAATGCCAACAACATTCTTTGTTATGACAGACCCCAAGGAACTCTTCCTGTTGTTCAACATCTCATCTGCTCTGCTGCCAGAACTGGGAAGTCCAGCTGAACTTGATTTCTTTCTCTTGCTCATCTTTTCCTTTCCCAACTTTCAGGGGTTCTCTCTCCTTGTTCTCTTCGTATGCTTTGTTTTCCCCTAGTATCCCTGTCTGTGTTACTCTAGTGCTCCAACTCTGTCACTATGCACTGCTGTGAGGGTTGCCCATTGATGGTTGTTCCTACACCCTTGGCAGTATGAAAAACAAATTTAGGAGTAGATTTCTTGTGCTCTATATTGTTTTTGTCTTAGCAGTATTCCAAAGCATATGTGATAGCACTTGTTGACCAAGCCCAGTGAGCAGGGAGAAGAGCTGCAGCTGATTTCTGAGATACCTTTTTGTCTGTGAAGAGTCTGTCTGTGGCTGTGTCAGAAAGAGAATTCCATTGAGGCTTTTGTAACTTTTTTTTTTGTCATTTGATATATTCTAAGTATTTATTATGTCAAAACCAGAGACTTCTTACTTGGTTTTAATTTATCGTGGGTTATAGAAGAAAGGAAACATCCCTTTTTGGAGGGGAAAGCTTATTCTACAAGGGGAAGTTGCCTATATGTTAAACCAAAGTGCATCTTTGGAATAGTGTGGTTTCTTTTTCTTCTGGGTTTTTTTTTTCTCTTTCTCCCACTGCCATTCTCAGTTCAGAAAGGAAAAGGTAGTAGTGAGGAAGGCAGGGTTCTTGCCATCATCCACTTTTTTTGGGAGGGGGGCGGAGGGAGTGGGGGAGTGTAGGATGGATGCCACTCTATGGAACAGTCTTAACACTTGGTCTGATAAAAAGAAGGCAAAGCTATCCGTAGGCAGGTACTTTATATTTGTGCAAGGTTCTGTGCTCTGCTCTGTCAGAACCTTAGTAAAGCATTAAGACTATTGCTTTACATTTTTCCTTCCCACCTCCAGTCTTGCCACCCAACCAGACGTTTGAAGTGGGGGTAGGGGTGGGATAAAGTTCTTCAGTGATAACTTAACAAATCATCTTACCCCTCCCTGCCCTTCCATAACCAAAGTTCAGGCAAACATACAAGTATGTACCCACAGCCCCTGTATATTTTATTTAGCACAGGGTCTTCCTAAGCCTTGTGTATTCATTTTCCTCTCAGTAATGAGACCGGAGATCCCACAGAAGTTAGTTAAGTAATCAGTTTGATGGCATGATTTTAAGACATAGTACCTTTTTAAAGGAAACTTGCATAAAATTCAATAAACTTGTTGCCTTTGCTATGCTGAATCTGTCCTTTCCGAAATCAGTAAATCCTTAGTACACCTATGATACAGAGGAGATGTGGGTAGCAACAAAGCCCCAACTAGGAGGAGCTATTCTGCCTCTCAGAACTGCTATAGATCCCCAGTTCTCCCCATCTTAACCCCAAGCGAAGTGTCCTGGTAGTACAGGAGCATTTCAGTGACAGGAATAGATGGCTCTTCACTGCATGTTCTGACCTAGTGTCTTGCTTATGCCACCCTCTGTTGATAGTGGCTGGGTTAACTGGTTTTAGTTTTATAAAGTGTTTCTTCTGTGAAATCTGAAATAAAACCAATATAATGTCACCTTAATTTCCAAAATAAGTCTTGTTCTTTTTTTCTTTTTTTCTTTTTTTTTTGTTGTTGGTTTTTTGGTGTTTTGTTGGGTTTTTTTTTAATATGTTTTGGTCTTAACAGTGTCTTTTTGGCTTTCCTAGTATTAAACAAAATTGATCACTGGTTGGCTTTTTGTCTTCTTCTCTACCACCATTTTTTAATCCTGTGTTTCATCTACAGTCTCTCATTTCTTGGTAAAAAGCAAAACCTGCTTCTGGCATATCTGAGTTGGAGTCTGTAGAAATAATAACAATAATAAAGAAGACTACTTACTCTGGAGCATGGCTTCTTGTTGCCATGATTTTGCACACACCCGCAAGATTGAAGTGGAAACTCCCACATTCTAATCCTGACTCCACTATTGTGGTTTGGAACAAGCCATTAATTCTACTGCCTCAGTTTACCTATTTGTAAAATGGGACTAATGGTATCTACCTCAAGGTCACTGAGAGTGTTACGTAATGGGTATAAATGCTGTCAAGTTATTAGGTATGACTAGCTGTTAGGCAGTAACAGGAGGGGAGGTGGCTAATGTGTGAGGGTGAGGTGCCTTATAGCCACGAAGAATCTAATACTGAAGAGTGGCTGTGTGAACTGGGCATATGTGCATGCTCTGCGACTTCATTATATCTACTGCATATTATCCATGCACATCTTGGCATAGGATACTACGTAACAAAACAAATGTGGTTGGTTGATTGGTTTGTTTTAAATTTAACTACTGGCAGTTGTAGTGAGCCTGAACAAAACGTTGAAAGAATTCTACTTGGCTTGGTTCAATTGAAAACCTAGAAGGAAAAAGAAAGGAGTGATTAAACTTCAAGCAGACAAACCACAATAGTTCTGTGCTAAAATGTTTTAACAAATCTTGAGTAAGGGGAAGCAAGGACTAATGCTGTTCCAGCTGGTGGGGCAGGAGGTGGATGAGTGCTCTGTATAAAAAGTTCATGGTCTCATCTAAGCAAAGCTTGAAGATAACTGGTTTAGAAATAGAAGTTTCTCAAGGACTTAGTCTATACAATCTCAATGTTGCTTTCGTTGTTACTTGAAAAGCAGAAGTTTGTTTTGGGTTTGATTTCCCCCCCCAGTTGTGTAACTGTGAGCTGCTGCCCTGTATCCCATTCTGCAACTGGCTGCTGAACACAGTGTGCCAAAAATAAAAATCTTACTAGCACTGGTACTGCTTGTTCTTTCTCACTAGTCCATCAGATAGGCATAGGTGAACGGTAATATACATTCTGCAAAATTGAAAACTACGGTTGCTTGCCTTGAGAAGATGAGGGCAGAAGTCAAGTCCTTCACAACTACCCTTCTATATGAAATTGAAGTGGGAGTTTCTGTTGTCAACTGCTACTCACTTTACAGTCTCCTTTTCAGCTAGCTTCTCATAAGCTTCTCTACACCAGTCTGGTCTTAATCTTGAGACTGAAAAACACAGTGCCCTGTTGGCCCTGTAAACTTAATAGGTTCACAAACACATTGCTACTCTGAAATCGTGGGCAGTATACCTTAAATCTCCAATATAGCCTTAACAGGAAAAATAAGAAAGCTATTCTTTTGTTTTCTATTCTACCATTTCCCTGAAGAGAAAGAAATACACCTGTCTTGACAAAGACAATAACTAAAACACGCAAGAACTGGTGACTACTAGACTGCTCAAGCAGAGAAGCTTTCCAGTGCTGAGGGGGAGGTCAAGTAAAACCCGAAACATTTAAGGTAGACCAGTGGTAAAGGAAGCAGGCATCTTCCTCCTGCAGTTAGTTACTTTACTGTCGCTGAAGATCAGGCCCACTGCCGGCAACTCGGCTCAAAAGAAAGGAAAAAAAAATAAAGCCGAACCCCAAACAAATCCTGGAGCAGCTGCTTAAGAGATGGGGCCGGGTGAAGGAGAATTAGGCTGCGTGCTTAAAATATCAGAATGGGCTGTTTATGCCTCTGGAAGTGAAGGCAATGGAAGATGGTAGCGCGGCCTTTCCGCCCAGACGCCGGCCCTGCCGTTGCCTGGACCCTCCAGCGCGCGGCCCCTCCTTGCAGCGTCGCGGTTTCCGGAGGGGACGCCGCCGCAGCTGCACCGCGGAGCCGACCGGAGCGAAATGGCGGTGGCACCGTCCGGCCGGCGCCGTGCTCTGACAGGGTCCCGCGATCGCGCCCGCCTCCGGGCTTCAGGCGGCGGCTGCGAGCCCCGGTGCGGCGGTGAGGGGGGCAGCTGCCGCAGCGCCGCCCGGGGGTGCGGACGAGCGAGAGATGCCGAAGCTGCGTGGGGAGGCCTTCTGGAGGGAGACGCTGCGGAGCGCCCACTACGTGGTGGCGCCCATGGTTGACCAGAGCGAGCTGGCCTGGAGGCTACTGAGCCGCCGCCACGGCGCCCAGCTCTGCTACACGCCGATGCTGCACGCCCAGGTCTTTCTCAGGGACGCTAACTACCGCCGCGAGAACCTGTACGACGAGGCTTGTCCCGAGGACCGTCCGCTCATCGTGCAGGTGAGTGCTGCCACTGGCGTCCGACCCGGCGGCCCGCTGCGCTCCCCGAGGGGCGGCGCCGGCCCGGTCAGCCCCAGCGCCGGAGCGGCGGCAGGCACTGCCGGGAAGGGCTCCGCGGGGTTCTCTTTGCGGTGCGCTCTTGGGTAGCGCTACGAAAGCAAGTCGGCATTGCCAAATACACCCTTGTCATCCACCCGGTTTGTGTTAACACATCCAGACGTTTTCCAAATGCGCATGAGTTCACGCCAGTCAGTGTTACCTGTATGTGTGTGTATATATATCTGGTTATATGGGATGACAGAAATTTCATTTTCTTCCCCTAAATACTGCTAACAGTACTTAGCTCATGAAGGTAAGTGTGGTTTTCTGTTTATCCCTTGTATAGCAAAGGGGAGTTGGTTTAACCACAGAGGCCTGGAGCACTAGTTCTCCCAGGGTTTCAGTCCTTTACACCTCATCTTTAGACGTAAGTTGTAGCTGGCCTTCTAGAGTCAAGGGTTGTTCCAGATGTGATACCATTCAGGGAGGATCACAGATTTTTGTGTAGTACTCTGAAACAGCTCAGTACATAGCTGTAGAAAAAAGAGGCAAGGAAGATAAGACACACTTTAAAGCTTGTGTTGCTTCTGCTTCTTGAGTACCTTGTGAGATTCAGGTATGTTCCTCCACTCCATCCCGAAGAAGGAGAGGGCTGCAGAGCTGAATGCAGGCAATGACAGCCAGCATGAGCAGAGGAATGGTGTGGTTTCCACATGTGGAGCAGTTAAATGAATGGGGACTTTTTGCCCTGGAAGAAATGTGTCTCTCCTGACTGAGGGGAGAGATAAGAGAAGTCTGTGAAAGTAAGACTGGCTTGAAGATAAATAGGAAACAAATGTTAAAGGTAGTGATAAACTTTGAAATTTATTACCGTGGGATGTAATGGATGCTGGAAGATTACATGAGTTTAGAAAGCAAATGAAAGAAAACTCTCTTGAGGGTCATAAGGTGCAGAAAACACCACTTCTGCTTCCAAAGAAGACGTTTTCTTCCAAAGAACCAGGTTCTGCTGTTCGCTAGTCATCTGTTGTTGACCATTATCAGAGCAGGATGAGGTGGACCTTTGTTCTGTCTCAGTAAAGCTTTGTATATTCTCCCTTTTCTATTCTCCTTTGAAGTCTGAGGATCTTTAGCTAGTGAGTGTCACAGTTTTTGTCTGTGGTGGGTTTTCTTTTTTTGGGAAATGGTGTTTGCTGTTATTAACGTGCATATTATGCCTGTTTTCTGTAGCAAGTAGATTGCTTCATAAGTATGTCATAATGTGTTGTCAGTACTTCAAGAAAGCTATTGCCTAATTATTCCACTCTTTTTTTTGTGTCTCTCAGTTCTGTGCCAATGACCCTGAAGTGTTTGTCCAAGCAGCACTGTTGGCTCAGGATTATTGCGATGCCATAGACCTAAATTTGGGTTGCCCCCAAATGATTGCAAAGAGAGGTACGTGCAAATCTGAACCTGCATAAATAGAGAAATGGTACGTTTCAAATGTGATTGCTGCTAGTAGAACACCAAGAGGACCAAATGAAACCAATTTTGCAACACTGCATTTAAAATTATGTTATGCAGGAACGTAAAATCTCCTGTGTCCTTAATACTTGCATGGAGTTTGTTCACATTAGCATATAAAAGGGTAACACCTACTGGATCCCTAAGAGGTATTGCAAAGATAACTATGTTTGAAAACCAGAACCAGTGTTTGAAAATTTTGAATAAGTTAGGATGCTGAGATTTGTTCAGTAACTGTTCATTCCTCTTCTAAAATGTCTTTCAAAGACTAATAGGAAGTGATCAGTGGTGTACAGAGCAAATAGATCTTTCAATCTGATTAGATTTTATCCTGAAGGGAATTTTTATACACCTGATATAAACCCCTGAAAGTTGGACTTTGAGCTGCTAGTGTCAACACAACAGCCTTAGGGAGTAGCAGTGGAAGTAGGTTGTGGGGATTCATTGTTTGTCCTCTAAATCTAGGGTGGCATGGGGGACAGAGTGACTCACCTCTTCCAGTTTGGGCTGGACAGAGCAACTCTGTTTCCAGAGGCATATGAGTGTCTGGATCTTTGTATGTGAATGTTTATGAATCTTGGTCTTCTCTGCAAGTCTGTCATGTTATTTTATCATAGGTCACTACGGCGCATTTCTGCAAGAGGAATGGGATCTTCTTCAGAGAATGAGTAAGTCTTTAAAGAGGCCTCACTTTACAGAGACTTCACTTTGAGAGGGAATAGGATAAACTCATTACTGAGAGGAGGTTTATGGATTTGGGGGAAAGGAGGTGCAGCACGTTTCTTTGGGGAGGGCTGTATTTGTGTTTTGTTGGTTTGGTTTGTGGTTTTTTTTCTTTCTTTCTTTCTTACTGTATTCCAGTGGCACCCTCAGAATTCTTGGTAGTATCCCACTACAGACTTACTCTACATCTGCTAAAAGACTTTAGTACCTGAAACGCTTTAGGTGAAAGTTAGTGAATAAAGCCCCAGTCTGATGATGGCTTAATGTCTCTCCAGCTCTAGAAAGTAGAGTTGGGAATTCTTTATAGACTTTTTCTAGAGTCTAGAAATTCTTCCCTGTGAGGGTGCTGAGGCACTGGCACAGGATGCCCAGGGAAGCTGTGGCTGCCCCATCCCTGGCAGTGTTCAAGGCCAGGTTGGATGGGTCTTGGAGCAACTTGCTTGAGTGGAAGGTGCCCCTGCCTGTGGCCGGGGGTTGGAAACAAATGACCTTTAAGGTCCCTTCCAACCCAAACCAATCTGGGATTCTGTGAAACAGCAGAACTCTCAGTGCCTTACTTTTTCACTTTGAAGTTCTCAGGAGCCAGGAGTTTTTCTACTTGAAAACACAGCTGCCCTTTTCTGATCAACTCAGCATACCTTTCTGTCTGCACCATAGCAAGTTACGCTTGTCTTCTAATTTGTGTAGGTTGTTTTCAGACTACTGGTAGCAGTTCTGAACAGTATTGGGTTTTTTTTGTTCTCTTTAATACATCAGAATTGATTTAAAAAGCAAGGTTTGGGTTATTGAGTATAGCTGAGAATGTGCTTTCACCCCAATTCAGAGCAAGTTTCTGAATTCCATGAAATTAGAGTACTTCTGTTTGCATTCCCTGTGGTCCAGCGAATCTTGAATGATGTTTGGCACAGAGACTGCTGAGACCCTGGAAGGCTAGACAGTGCTTTTCTGCCCAGCATGTAGTGATTGTTAGGGCACCTTTCTTAGAAGTGAAAGGTACAAATCAGAACAGCCTCAAGGTGAGAAGAACCCAGGTCATCCAGTTGGGTGAGAATCCAGGCTGTCTAGTAAGAGAGTTGTCTTATTAGGCTGTTGTATAAAAGGTGGTCAGAGCTTCCTCTTCCTCCTTCTCCCCCATCCTTTTCTAATACAGTGGAGTATTCTTTTCTGCTTATGCCTGTATACGCCTTAATTGTTCATTTGAAAGGGTGATAGAAAGTACCTATCAATAGAGCTCCTAGGATTTGAGTTAGAACACAGCAGGTGGCTATATTATGCATCCAAGCTCTGGAAGTAAGGAGAATTTCAAGCATGCCATTGCTCAGTGTTTTTTTGTTGGCTTTACTAGCAGTCTTTTCAGTAGTTTTCCAATTTCATGCACTGTGTAAATGCTATGGGAGTTTAACACGTTCTAGATTTCATTCTGATTCTGTAACCTACACTTACTATTAAACTGGGTCCACAGTCATCAAATTCAGTTGATAAGCCTCTATTGGCCATAGACAAGACCCTACTTGTCATGACTGTGTGAAGATTTGGAAAGAAGCAAAGCATCTCTTGTAGGAAAGGTGGACAAGAGAGTATTAATGTTGTTGGCAGAGTAGGAGGAGTACCATAGCCTGTGATTACAGTAAACCTGTATCAATGATGAAGATTTGAGGGGATGGTCCTTGAAAGTGAAGGTTTGATGTGGTGGAAGCATTAGGACTATTAAATGTTGACTATTTTATGCCTTTTTGTTATAATGCAGATTTTGTGCTTCACATTTTACTATTACTTGGTTAACCTGTGCAATAAGGATTGGAGAGTACACTGCTGATTGTTTAAGCTGTGAGAACTGCCTAGCATTAACTTTTCAGGCTTTTTCCTTACCACACCTAGTATCTTTAGGATGTTGAGGAGAGTAGGCACTTTTCATAGCATTGTGCAGCCCACTTATGTGTCTTTTCAATCTTTCCCAGTTTTTCTGGCTAATGAGAAGCTCTCTGTTCCCATCACATGTAAAATCCGCGTTTTCCCAGAAATTGACAAGACAGTGAAGTATGCACAGATGCTGGAGAAGGCTGGATGCCAGGTAAGGCAGCAGCTGCTCCCTGTACTCTTGCATTGGACACGCGTCTCTTTGTAAAGCATCTGGTGACCGGATCTTGGATTACAGTGGAGATGAATAGGCTGCATCATATTACAAGGAGGAAAAATGGGATGCAGAGAGACTTTATATATTTGCAGTTGTAGGCAGCAAGCCAGTAGTGTGATACAGAAGACATCATAATTTCAGAGTCTCTCTTGTAATCACTGCACAGGGTGGCATCCTTCACTGTGGCTGAGCATCTCAGTCTAGTGTAGTGCTTCAGGTGGCAGTGTGAGTGCATGAAATCCACAGAGCTATAATAAAAACCTAGTATCAAAGATGACTGCCACTAATGAGGAAATAGGCAGCTTTCTAGGAGTTAACTCCAGTTAAATAGGAAGAGATACTGTGGTTAGAGCCAGTACTGACAGTATTCAGACCTTCTGCTGAGGAGCAAGCCAGATCAATATACCACAAATTCCAAAGTGAATCACAAATAGGAGCCAATAGAGGTGGAAATCTGTAGGTCCTCCCAAGATATGATCTTGTCATGCTGTGGAATAGCAATCCAAAAGAAGCCCAAGACCATGGTAGGTGAGCTGCTGACACCTTTCTGTGATATCAAAGTTGTGCTGTTGAAATAGTGGGAATTCAGTGGCATCCATGAAGTGTATGGTGTGAAAGGAAATTTTTGTCAGTTGGTTTGTCTAGTGGTTCATGCACATGAAAAGTAAATGTAACTTTGTGTTCTAGCTACTGACTGTGCATGGCCGTACTAAAGAACAGAAGGGACCGCTTGCTGGCATGGCGTCCTGGGAGCACATTCAGGCTGTCAGGTCAGTGAGCAGTGCTCATCTCGCTGGAATTCTGCTAACAGATGATGAAGGTAGATTTTAAGTGGATTAAAGAGCAAACAAGTTTATGTGTGACAGCAGTAGAATTTCTGGGTTGACTCTAATTCTCAGTTTTATGCATCTGTTTTATTCACCGGTATAGAAAAGCTGTAAGCATTCCTGTATTTGCAAATGGAAACATCCAGTGTCTCAGTGATGTTGAAGAATGTATCCGTAAAACAGGAGTGCATGGTGTCATGAGTGCAGGTAAATGAAATGAATTTTTACTCAGCTGAAAATACAAACTATTTCTTACCCTCTTTTAGCAGCCTCATAAACATTCATTAAGAGCTTATGTCAGACTGACTTGGTGAATAGCTTTGATTGAAAGCTGAGTGGCCATTCTCCTTCTTCTTAGACTGGCCATCTCTTACCAGGACCAGGAATCACTTAAAACATGTAAGAATTGTTATGCTGGACTTCTAGTACTATTGAGTGGACAGCTCAAATCTAATTATTTGACAAAGGCGTATGGGACTCCTGTTGTCCTGGAATATTTTCATGACAACTGTTAATCAATGCAACAGTTTTTGAACGGATCTTAATGCAGGACGTGCAACCGGTGATTAATATTCCTGTAAATGTTTCATGTTGGGTTGGCACAAGAAAGGATTGGCATCGCTTCCTACAGGAAGAGCTAGGACAGACATCAGAAAAAGCTTCCAATCACTTGCACAGTTAAATCAATGAAACATTTTCTGGGAGGTTTTAGAATCTTATTCTTAGAAAATACAAAAGCTTTTGAACCTAATAGAGAAAAGCATAGTGAGAAGCAGTATCTAAACTTAGGCCAGATGAATGTTAAGACAGACCTAAGACAGGACATCCACTGCCCAAGTATTTAACAACTGGGCAACAAAAGCAGTGATTTTTCTATTTGTCAATTTTTTTTTACTGTCTTTATGTTAAGATCGGATGCCTTTCTGGAAAATGTACTTCAATTAGATATGAGCTATTTTGCTCAATTACGAACTGTATAGTCAAATGTAGTATCCTGAGGTCAGACTAGAGTTTTATGTACCCTGTGCCCCTCTTTGAGTACATGGGTGATGTGTCTCTGTCTGGTGGTATCACAACAGAGCTGATCAAGCTCCAGAACCTAGTTTTTGTTTTCTGTTTCAATCCTAAAATGGAAGTTTGAGTATTTCTTTTCATTCCCTAGAAGGTAATCTCCATAACCCAGCTTTGTTTGAGGGCCGAAACCCATTGGTGTGGGAGATGGCTGAGGAGTATCTGGAGATAGTGCAGAAGTACCCTTGTCCATTGTCTTATGTTAGGGCTCATCTCTTCAAGCTCTGGCATCACACGTGAGTATCTCCAGAGAACTCTTCATGTTTTCAGGGCTCATCTTGCTTAGCAAGTGTCTGGGTTTTCTAGAGAAGGATTTGTTTGGCCAGAATGAGTATGCTGCAAGGTTTTCTTTCCTGGACCCGGCTGGACAGAATGTGGGCTGAGGCCTTTACTCTTCACTGCTATCTGGAAAACAGGGCATGGGGAATGAACAAGTTACCACAAGATAACTAGGGTGTGAGCTCACAGTATGTCAACTACCATGTGGTAATGGCCTAGATGCACATATGCACTTTGTGGCAAACACTAGTTAACTAACTCCTTGCTCAGTGTGAGGCAAGTTGTCTTGCATTTGTTGTGGAGTAAGCACATGGCCATGGGCAGTTACTGAGGAGTAGCTGATGCACTGTGTATTCATGTTAGCTTATCTGAAAGTACCTTGGTTGTGTGCCAAGTATTTATTTGGAAAAGAGTAAGTGGGTAGGTGTGGTTTTCTCTGGACTTACAAGAAACAAGATAAGCTTCTACCAAAGGCAAGTGAAGCAAGAGAAATCTGTGAAAAGCTTTTATAAATATATTTTCAGTTGATCTCAGTGTAGAAATAATGAATAAAATTACTTGATATTTGGGATTTGCCTCAGGCTTCAAGTTTACCAGCAACTGCGTGAAGAATTAGCAAAAGTGAAGACTCTAGAGGGCATTGTAGATGTCAACAGGGAGCTGAAACTACGATGCCAGGTACTAAGATGGGTCCTAATCTCCCAGAACAACACTGTCTGCACTTGGTGGGAACTTACCATGCATGTCATACAGTTGATGTCTGTTAGTCACTTCACTGAAACTTTGTGGCTTACCAACCTTGATGTTGGTAGTTTACTACAGTAGCAGCCCCCGAAGTCTGAACAGTTTTACACAGGATTTAAGAGTTACAAATCTGCTTCAATTAATCTCTCATAGTAGAAGATTTTTGCCTATATTTGACTGTCAGTAACTGTCACTTGAAATTCCAGTTTGTTGAAATTCCAAAATGTTGAAATTCCAATTATTTAAGAGTGTTGCCTGAGAACTTCAGGAAAACTGACTGTAACTTTATACTGCAGGAAGAAATAGCTAATCAGAAAGAAGGAGAAAAGCCAAAAGAAGGGTTGCCTTTCTTCCACTGGATCTGTCAGCCATACATCAGGCCAGGGTAAGTTAGTTATGTTAACATGGACAGAGACCCATAGGCCTTTCCCACCTATCCTATCAGTACAGGGCCACCCACATCTGTTCTAGGAGCTTATATTAATTTGAAAATAAGTGAAGACTTTGGATTGGTTTTGTTCTCATTTCTTCTCTTCTGGATTATTGCTTTGTTCATGGGGATATTGCTCATTGTATTCATCTTCTCCTTTAGAGCCTTCTCAGATTTCTCTCTTGAAAAGTAAAAACCAGTAATTGCTCTGCAGAGCAGAAAGAGAACCTGATGAGCAACAAATACGCTACCTGACAGTACTTTATCATTATATGTAACATGGATGTTGCTGATAAATGCCAGGGTAGCAAAGATGAGAACTAAACTGTATTCTATAAAGGATGCTTGTGTTGTATGGACAGACTTTTCAGATTACTTATTTCCTTTCTGTTGTGAAAATTGGGCTGAAGACAGTATGTCTGTTACTAATACCAATGATAACAAAAAAGTTCACTTTTTCTATTCCACTTCTATGGGCAGTGACACTTCCCTGTAGTTTCACCATAATCATAGAATCATAGAATAGTTAGGGTTGGAAAAGAACTTAAGAACATCTAGTTCCAACCTTCCTGCCATGGGCTGGAACACCTCACACTAAACCATGTCACCCAAGGCTCTGTCCAACCTGGCCTTGAACACCACCAGGGATGGAGCATTCACAGCTTCCCTGGGCAGCCCATTCCAGTGCCTCACCACCCTAACAGGAAAGAATTTCTTCCTTATATCCAATGTAAACTTCCCCTGTTTAAGTTTTAACCCGTTACCCCTTGTCCTGTCACTACAGTCCCTAACAAAGAGTCCCTGCTGCTATGAGGTGTCCACACAGCCTTCTCTTCTCCAGGCTGAACAGCCCCAACTTTCTCCGCCTAATAGAAAAGTTGAGAGTTTACCCAGATTTCAGTAAACCAGAACAGCATCTGGGGATCACCTGCTTGTTCACTACAGCCAATTTACGATGATATTCACTGTTTCAGGCCAAAGGAGAGATGCAAGGAGAATGGAGCCAGTGAAAAAGGTGTGCGAGGAAAACGTGCTTTGGAAGAGGAGGAAGATGGAAATGCTGAGCTTCTGTCAAAGAATAAACAAAAAAAGAAGTTGAGAAATCCAAATAAAAGCTTTGATCCATCTTTAAAACGTAAGTTCCGTTTATTGGATTAATGCTTGGAAAGGTGCTGATATCCCATTTGACATAAATAGCCACTGTTTATTTTCCTTGTTCATGTAGTTGTAGAAATTTCTTAAAATAGGGAGGATTACTGGGAAATTTCGGTAGTAGGCAATGTGACTCAGTTTATGTTCATTACTAAAGAAAACTAGGATTAAAAAAGTAGGTCACTGGTCCACTATAATCATCTTTTTAAGATCAGAATGCTTTTACAAACTGAATTTGAGCCATCATTAATATTTGAAATTGCCTGTGCATTTCAACCAGTTGTCCTCCTCTCTTACACTTGATTTGAGAATTAAAATTTTCCATGTTTGGATCTAGCTTAGAGGCACTTAAAAAGTCCTTGACCCTTGCAGTGTTCTTTGAGGTACTGTATTTTAATTTTAAAAAGTCTCTCTCGCTAGAGAAGTGCCAAGCTAATGCTGCTTTATTTGGGTTCATTTACTTTCTTCCACAGAAAAATACCATTGCTGAAATCCTCTCTCTTTTTCTAGCCAAATACGCAAAATGTGATCAATGTGGAAACCCTAAGGTAAGTCAATGCCAGTGGTCCATTAGAGCATTTCTGTTAAATGGAAATTAAATGACCATGAAGTGGTCAATGGCTCGATGTCCAAATGGAGAACGGTGATGAGTGGCATCCCACAGGAGTCCACACTGGGACCAGTACTGTTTAATGTCTTCAGCAGTGACATAAGACTGTGGGATAGAGAGCACCCTCAGCAAGTTTGCAGATGACGTGAAGCTGAGTGGTACGGTTGACACTCATGAGGGAAGGAATGCCCTCCAGAGGGACCTGGACAAACTCAAGAACTGGGCCCATGTGAACCTCATGAAGTTCAGCAAGGCCAAATGCAAGTTCCTGCACCTGGGCTGGGGCAACCCCTGGTATCAATACAAGCTGGGGCTGAGGGGATTAAGAGCAGCCCTGAGGAGAAGGACTTAGGGGTGCTGGTTGATGAAAAGCTGGACGTGAGCAGGCACTCATGTGCACTTGCAGCCCAGAATGCAAATCATATCTTGGGCTGCATCCAGAGGCACATGGCCAGCAGGTCAAGGGAGGTGATTCTGCCCCTCTGCTCTGCTCTAGCAAGTCGTGACCTGAAGTACTGCATCCAGATTTGGAGTCCTCAGCACAGGAAAGACATGGACTTGTTGCAGCAAGCCTAGAGGGGGTCTACAAAAGTGGTCAGAGGATTGAAGCACCTCTCTATGCAGAAAGCCTGAGAGAGTTGGGCTTGTTCAGCCTGGAGAAGACTTTTGGGAGACCTTACTGTAACCTTTCAGTACTGAAAGGAGTAAGAAAGGTGGTGACAGGCTTTTTAGTAGGGCCTGTTGCAATAGAACAAGAGGTCATGTTTTACACTAAAAGAGGGCAGGTTCACACTAGATATATGGAAGTAACTTTTTACCATGAGAGTGGAGAAACACTGTCACAGGTTGCCCATAGAGGTGGTATATGGCCCATTCCAGGAAGGGTCAGGTTGGATGGGGCTCTGGGCAATCTGATCTAGAGAAAGATGTCCCTGCTCACTGCAGGGTGGTTGGAATAGATGACTTTTAAAGTTCCCTTCCAACCCAAACTATTCTGTGATTCTGAATCCTGAGGTAGGTGCATGACAGTGTTCAGTAATGCACATGTACCAAGTCCTGCTGACACGTAAGTCAGTTCATACTTTGGCAAAAGTCTCTTAACTGTTAATCATAAGCAGAGGTAAAGGTGCTATGCAAAAACTGCTACCATATGTAGGGTCTTTGAGATAATTTGTCTTCCTTTCCAAAAATGTGTTGTCTTCCTTTCTAAAAAGTAGCATTACAGCATGTGGTGTTGATCCCTTTTTATAACAGTTGTAGCACCTTAAAAACAGCAGCTAGGGCACAATTTGGAGCTGCAGCTACAGCAGACAGTGTATTTCTTGCTGTGTTCATTGTTGGGAGAACACTGAGCACTCAGCTGGCCTGCTTTAATAAGCCACCCTGTTTCATTGCTAATCCAGGTGACACTGCTTGGTGCGTCAACAGGCCTGTCTGAAGCTGGGCTTAGTCTCATTTTTGTTTTGCTCTTACATCACTGTAATGATACAGACAGCCCTTGAAATCTTGTGACTGGGCCTGTTCTATTTCTCTCCCCAAGATCATTTGTTTCTAAGCTGTGTCATGGAACTGGGGGAGAACAAAACAAAGTGTGAACCAAAGCACTGTAGCCACCCAGATTGCTAAATGCAAGTGTGAGCTTTCCAAGACTCAACTGCTGCTATCCCTGAAGGGTCATACATTATATTTTAATATATACTCAGGTACATTTTTAAGCTGCAAGTAGGGAAATAATTCTCCGGTAACATTTACTTCAGGCATAGCTACAGATGGTGGCAAGCATCTCAGGCACCATGCTTCACATCTACTTCTGGAGAGAACTACAACAAGCTCACATGCAACAAATGTCATAGTACTGTTCCAAAGCACTGACGGCACTTACCTGCTTGTGCTGTGCAGCTCAGGCTGCCCAGCACGTTACAGATGCTGCAGAAGTTAAATCTGGAATTTTTCTGTTTGTCTTGGTTTGGGGTATTTTTTTTTGTTTTGGTTTTTGTTCTCTATGTACAGTTGATAGCTGGGGCTCCCCCCCATATGACATCAGCTCTGTCATCTTCATTAGACTGAGATGTGGCTGCCTAATACACAAGTTCATGATATTTTTCCAAGGTCTGAATGAGCAGAGCTGTATTGTTGTTGCTTACTGTAGTAAACACTTATAATTTTATTGTGACTGATCCTAGCTTCTTTATCCCCCACCCCACCCCAGGGCAATAAATGTGTGTTTAACATGTGCCGAGGCTGCTGTAAGAAAAGTGCATTCAAAGCAACAGCAGACTGCCCAGGTAAGTGCAGCCTCCTTCAAGTCACTGAGCAAACGTCCCATCTCCCACGTATGTTCATTGCTTTAAACTCGGGTTTTATTCGGGGGTGGGGGGGGCGGGGCAGAGAAGGGAGGAGCTGTTGGTGTTAAAATCTACAGCCTCGGCATGCATAGTGTCCAGACTATAAGAACCCATTCTGTGCAGCTGTAAGGAATGAGCTGTTCTGTTTACCAGTGCAGTCATCTCATTTCAGGTTTGTTTGTTTGTTTTTCCCCATACTTGCTTCTTCAGGTCATGGCTTACTTTTTAAGACCAAATATGAAAAATCCCTTTCATGGCAGAGTAGTCAAAGAGTAATTCAAAACCCAGAGGCCAGTCGGAGAGGAGATGTAGATGTGGGGGAGACTGCTGTACTGAAGGAGGCTGGTGACAGTACAGTGTTGAAGCTTTGACAGTACCCACTTAAAGAGCTCTGCCAGACCTCTGTTTCCCTGGGCCAAGGAACATGCCGTCTCCAGCTCACCGTCAGCTGTGCAAACTTGTTCCTCAGATTTATTTTAAGTAAGTTCTTGAAAAGTTTTAAGTAAAATGCTGCTTACTCAGGGAATTATCCTGCATTTGAAATAAAAAGGGTACAATTAAATTTCTCATGCTGTGTTTTAAAGAATGAAAATGCTGCATTTTTTTGGGTGGGGGTAACCTATATAAGCTGCCATCACAATCTGCCTCCTGTATGTTCATTAACCCTTCATCTCCTGTTTTTAATATTGGGGAATAAATTTCTTGTATTAGACCAGCCTTCTGGTGTGCTAAAAACAGTAATGTCAATGACTTTTTCACTAGCAGAAAATGTGTCACATTTGTCTGAGCTTCCACAGGCCACGTATTCAAGTGCAAAAAAGAATCCAGCTGTACTTTGAAAATGTGAATGTAAAAGTACAAGATGCTGCTGTAACGACATTGTGTATTAACAATTACTAGTTTTCTACAGTACAAAGCTTAACTATCTGCCATGAGCCGAAGGCTGGGGCAAAATGAAATCTCTGTAATAGAGAGGGTTGTCAGAAACTAAGTCAGAACCAAGTTCATGAACCTTTCCCTGCTCAAGGTCTCAAACTTAACTACATGATCATTCCTTCCCCTTCCCACATGATAAATTCTGTGAGAAGTGTGTCAAAACCAGACACAGATCTATACATGCAAGACTCCTGTCTGGCTTTTACCCTTTTGTCCCCACGGGCTCTGGTATCTCCCTAGGCATTTGGCCTGTGTAGCCTTACAGTGTTTGGGATGCAGTAAAGAATGTCAGCAGCCAAAAAAACCCAAACCAGCCAAAAAAACCCACAGCAGTGGTACACAGCTCTTTAATAGACTGAAAAAAATGGAAGTCAGGCCATCCCCTGCTTAAGCTAGAATAAATAACTAAAGCTTAGCTCAGCTTTGAAATTCATCTCCTCGTGGCCTGTTTGCTGAATCCTGTTTCTGTCGCTGCATGCTCCAGCATTTGCTGCAGTGTGAGCAGCTTTTCTTCAGAGGTCCTAGCACTGTCTCAGTGCATAAAAAGCAGCAGGTCTGTTAATGCTTTGTTGTCGCTTGTAGCCTACTGAAGGGGACAAAGCAATGATGCATTGTGAAGCCTGTTAACTGCAGTCTAGCCCTGCCTGGTCTGGCAAAGCTGGCATGTTATGAACAAAACCATTGTAGCAATAGTGCCCACAACTCTAAAATCAGTAAGTCTTAAACTACTGTTCCTCCAAGTGGTGAAGAGAAGGAGGGAAGTGGAAAGGGAAGGAGAAAGAAACAGGCATGGGGCAGGAGGCACAATGGCGGTTACATGCCTGGCCTGGTCCTGAGTGACTGTTCCTGCCCATCCCAAAAGGCTTGTCTGCAACTGAGAGCATCAGGCCCTGAGGGGATGGTAGTTGCCCACAACCCAAATCTCTCTGTCACGTGGCCAGACCACCAAGAGGTGTGGTGTATGTTCATGAGCACTGCTAGGCTAAGTGTGCCTGGTTTAAGCCACTCACTTCGCCTCCATGGGGGCAGGTTTTAGTCATAATTGGTCTTATTTTTTTTTTAATTTATTCTAGGTTGGTGTGTAACAATTCCCCAACAGCTCCTGCAGCTTTTACTGGCCAGTGACAAGAAATTATCCTGTGGTTGAGTTCTCAGTCTTGCAAGCACATATAGCAAGCAAAAGGCCAACACAGTGGACCACTGTACAGTATGTAGTAATGCACTCTGAGTGCATACTCTGTATTACCACTTTCTGGTCTACAGTTTGAGGGTTTGGCTGGGCGAGGGGGCCATTTGTGTTCTTATATTCTTGTGTTCAGCCTGTACCACAGAACCTCCACAGGTTGGAGCTGACTTATGTGTGTACCTTCCACAAATTCAAAATAAAAATAGGTAATTTAGCAGAGGTAGAGCTGTTTCGAATGCAGGTGGAAGGAGAGAAGCCAGAAGGGAAATTTTTATGGTTTCCTTCCTCGATGCTTCATCTGCCTGGCACTTGTTTTTCGAGAAACTCAACTGCGGAGATTATCCCTCTGCCTGTCAGAATCTGTCAGATATTCCCCATTGGAAGTTATGCTGGATCTGAAAGGAAATGCACTGGAAACTTAGTGCCCAGAATACCAGGTCTGCATTACTGAACAGTAATAGTCGAAAACCCCAAAGAGCCCATAAGGTCAGGAACCAAAGGCAGCACCAGGACCCTGTGACCCCAAGGCGAGCCCTTCCCTGCCCCTGCAACAGAGGGGGCAAGCCTAGTATTTTTTTAATGACAGAAACACTTGGAGGCCTCAGGAGCTGAAGCAAGGCCCCGACCGGGCTAAAACCCATTCTGAACAGGGGTTTTTTTGACTTTGCAGTAACCCTTCACTGCTTATGCACACATGCGTCTGTACGTGTTCATGCATGCATGTGTACATCCCCCCTTGGGCCCTGCAAGCTCAGTTTCTATTTCCTAACCTGCATTACGAACTATGTTACAGTTTACAGTCATGAGTTGACACATGGACAGTGTGCTGAAAACTGAACTAGCAGTTCAGTACTACCCTGAACTCTAGTAGCTGTAAGCTTAGTCAGTCCATGGAGAAACATTCTCATTCAAAACATTAACAAGAGAGCCCATAAGCAAGATTAACAGATCCCTAAACTGAGATCACATGTGAAGCAGGGGCCTTGGCCTACCCTTGTGTCAACCACCCTTATGCTCACTTGCATCTATGCTGTGTTCATACATGAAACATACTATTTCTTAAGGCACCTTCCCTATCACACAAGCACGTGCATCTTGATCTCTTCAGACACTTGCCTACATCTAGCTTGCTTTTATCTAGCTGTTCCCATGCACCAAGTCCTCTAGAGGGACCACAAGAGCCAAGAACTTCAAACCCATTTTGGAGGCTGGACTTAAATGCTGGCTAACATTTAGTTGTGGCTTTCTACAGATTATGACAATAAAAGTAGTTCAAACTCTCCTGTTGAGTCTTCCCATTTCATTTGCTTGTTACTTGAACAAAATATTTCCAATTATGTTATTGGAATAGCATCTTCCAACTCTAATCAGCTCATCAACCATGACTTTCAGCAGCTTTCATCATTTCTGACTACCCTTGTATTCAAATCCAGTTTAGCTACTAAGCTGGCAGGTGTTACTTAGCTTGCCTTGTGAATTGGAACTAGCACAGAAAGCAAGGAGGAGGGAAGCTTGTGGCAGGCACCCAAGAGCCCAGCCAGTAGTGTGGGAGAACCATGTTTAAAAATGCTTCTGTGCCTTATGGGCACTTGGGAACTTGGAACCACATCTCCCACCTCTTGTGGAAATGTTCAATTCTTCCCTTGCACAAGCACACGCTTTAAAGCTGTCAAGTATTCCAAGTTCCCTGGTCTGTTTAAAAAACCCCTCTTATAATAAAAAGCTAAATGTTCATTATTATGGAATTTCAAACTGCTTATCTGAACCCTTCCTATTTACAGCTTCCCCAGACCATCAGAAAGCTCAGTCACTGCTCACTGTGCCAGAGAAGAGTTTACAGAGTCAGAAAAGAAACGAGAAACATCTGCTGTGCTGACACACCAGTGGACTGGTGCTATGTGAGACATTCCGGTCACATTCTTAACCACACAGTAGGATTTCAGAACACAACTCTCACAAGCAGTCTCATCACAGAATCACCAGTGTGAAGAAAGGATCAAGCTGGCATTAGGCTCCTAAATTAAGGAAGGTTCTTATTCTTGGGAATCCCAATTTGGACATCTCTATACAGAATTAGTGTTTAAGGCATATGTGTCCCTACCTGCTCTTCCAAGGCCTTTCTGAATAGGCAATGCAGACAGATGCACACTTGTCTTGCGGGCTCCTGTCCCATGCTGTGGCAGAAGACTGCAGTGCTCCTCCCACCGGGCTGGAAACTGCTCGGGCAGGCATAGCAACACAGAACTCACTTTGTGCATTAACTACATCACCACACTAGTGGAAAAAGTTTCAACCTGGACTTCCAAGACATTCTAGAAGCTGATACATTGCTATTGAGGAGGTGGAGATGACCACTCTGTCATTCCTTAATTTAAAAAGCTGGTGAATTAGGAGGCAGTATTACAACATAAATAAAGCTGAGCCATTTCCCATTCAGGCTGGACACATCTGCACCCACACTAACTAGGGATTGATTTCAGGCAATACACTCATTACCCCGTATAATAAAAAAAAAAAAATCAGCCTGCCAAGTGAGCAAGGTCATGTCCTATTTTGTTACTGTTTCACAGGCCTTCAAAAAGATACTAGTTAACTTGAATGGAAATACCGGGAGGAAAAGGCAAAGCTCTGCATGCAGAATGATGGTGAAATGACCCTGTCTGGGTTTGAGGGAGGTTGGATTCTTGTATCTAAATCCATTTTCAGAGGCACACAAAAACGTAGTAGTCGTTCACCTGACAAAAAGGAAGGCAAATGCCTCTGCTGGCAAAGAACTTGTGAGAGCAGACAGCCAAGATTAAAAGAAAAGAAAATAAAAGGTCAAAAAGTGGCGAATCAGCCCCTGTACTGGACACAGGGAGACAAACCCCTGGATCTCACCATGGATTTACAGGCTACAAACTTTATATACACATAGACTTCACAGGCACATGGAGTATAAGAGTCAAAGCCATAGCTGTAGAAGCATTAAAGAACTGAAACAGTGATGTCTGTGAGATCAGGGACAAGAAGATTACCTGGCCTGGTCTACAGATTTTCAGAGCTTTCCACTCGAATTCTTGTTTGAATTAGACCATTTTCTGCTGATGCAGCTACCCTTCAGTCTGTAGCTTTTTGTAGGTCTCCTGAAACCTAAGCTCAAATTATTTCTTTGCTGTCAAGAAACTCATTAGGCATTAAGAATTATGAATTTATTCATTACGCATTATGAATTTACCACACTTCTAACTACTCAATCTCAAACATTTCTCTCAGAGAGAGTTTTCCCATGACAAATGGAGGACTTTTAACCAAAGACCTTACAGAAACTATTGCTTCCATTTTCAGCACCTAAGTCGTGAAAAGCACAGAAAGCCAGAGGGAGAGAGCACTGCTGCAATTGAGCAGCTGTGCAAATGCAGTCCGAGGGTTTTGCAACCATAACATTCTCTCAAGTTGTCCTTTCTTCACAGTTCATCCAAACTACATCTCAAATCAGATCGGAAATGACAATACAATAGCCTACAAAACATCATCAAGCTTAGCAAAAAATCAATGGCTTGAGACCAAACCCCAACTTTAAAACAGAACTCCAAATACTCACAAGCTTTTTAATCCTGCTCTTTAATGCACGAGATAGAACAACCCATTAAAAAAAAAAAAAAAAAAAAAAAAGAAAAAGAGGAAAAGCATGAAGACAGTAACAGGAACATCTGGAGTCAGCTGAGGCAGTTGCCAGACCAGTCAGGGCTAGATCAAAATTCTTAGCTTGCCTTATGGATCAGCTGAATGCAAAGCTGCAGTGACTTCAGAAAATTCAGTGCATATCTCCTTTTGTTAACACAGAACACACACACCTGGGCTGCCACCTTTAATCCCTTTATAAAAGGAAAAGCAGAATAAATGCACCTGGAGAGCAGGCACCTAAATTGACTGTTTTCAGCTCTTCCCCAAGACTTGAATGGTATTTTACGGCATTTATCCATGCTACCAGAAGCAAGTGTTGCACATTAGGAAACCATCACACACTATGGCTGTAAGACTGGACAAGCAGCAGTATTTGCATGAAGGAAGAAATTTACTGCTATGATAACACTAGACCCCAAAGCCAGGTCACACACAAGTGGGAAAAACATTATCAAACAGGTCTTTGAAAACAGAGTCCAAAGAGAAAAAAAAACCTGTATCCAGGTAAACATAATACCCTAAAATAAAGGCCTGTGACTGAATGCATGGAAGCGGTGCCATGTTTTCTAGTGTAGGTGAAAAAGTCATTAAGAGTTTCTCAGAGGAAGTCTCCTCTCCCACCAGAACTCTACCTCCATAACTGCAAGCAGTGGAAGTTTATCTGGAATAAACTGAAAGCTCAGCACTGCTAAAAATCAAGGCAAAACTTCCAGGCTAGTGAAATTCATCACACATGTCCATTCAACTTAACACTATTTTTGCAGCTTTGAAACATGAAAACTAATAGCAGCTGAAAAACTCTTAAATCATCATCTGTGTAAATAACCTGACAGCTCTTTATGGAGTGGTGGAGAAGGAAAATGGAGGAAGATGTTCTACCAAAACGGAAATGATGACCCATTGCAGGGATGCTGTTTTTAGAAAGAATTTCTTTTCAAAGAGAACTGAAGTTATAGGAATATTCATTATTATCCACCATCAGCCCTGACCCTCTCAATCTGAGCAAGAAGTGAGGGAGACAGGGACAGCTTGTGAAGCTCAGCAGTTAGTGGGTGAGACAATGGGAACAGTTCTGGAGGGACCATTTCTTTTGGTAGTACATGAAGTTTTTCACATGTTGGTGCTCATCCTGGACTGGCTGTTTGCTGGAGTAAGTTCCCCTTGGCTACCTTCTCTCGGAGGAGACTGCAACAAGACCAAAACACACCCTCATTAGTGATGTGTAAATACCCTGCAGGGTGCTTCCTGAGAGACCAAATGAAGCATAGGTGAAGAACAGCAGGAGTAACAGCAGTGGGAGAGCACACCCCCAACTCATAAACAACGATGGTTTTCAAAAACTTTGTCTTTACAACTTCTACAGTTACAGTTCACAACAACTGTTCCTAAAAAAGTCAAATTAGAACTTTTAAGCCACTCTTATTTACTATGTACAAGTTGCTGTTGGCCCTAGAAGTTGAATCCTATCTGCCATTTAGTCATCATAGAGATTAATATACTATAGAATTTTACATGTTCTGTGGCAGACGGCCTATCTTCCCTGAGGGCGTTCTTTTGGAACTGCATCCTGGAAGGAATACTGCAAGCAATATGAATTTTTTTACTTCCTCTGCCAAAAAAAATACTTAAACCAATATTTGTTTTGATAAAAGATATGTAGAATGAATAAGTTAGAATCAACCCAAGCATGTAAACTTCAAAGGACATTCTGCATTGTATAAGCAGGTGAATGTGTTGGCCAGAAACATCTGTTCCTTACGTATTTATATTTACTACTGTGAGAATCTGTCCAATCATAAGCACGAAAAATCCATTTCCCCCCCAGGATCTTGAATTCACCAATTTTGACAGTTTTGGTTAAAAAAAAGGAAAAAACGTAACATCTTTACATTGTCTGAAAATCCACATTTAACACGCCCATACCTTCACATGTATTTGGTTGCGCAAGACCGCAGCACGCAGGATCATGGCTTTGGCACGGCGCTGAAACTCTTTGCCCATTAGTAAAGACTTCTCAAAAGTTGTGCTACGCTGATCTACATCTCGAGCGTAAAGAATCTGTAACCAATACAGAGAACTGTACACAAGAGCTATGACAGGGTTCCACACCAGGAAGTCCTTTCTGCACAAGGGAACAAACCTAAGGTATCATGGACTCTGAGTTCACACACAGCTCTGCACTACTGAACATACCCGTCACAACAGGTGAATTCAACTTCAAGGTGTTCCAGAATGGAGAGATTCTAATCTTAGTACAGCTGTTCAGTGACTCTGATGCACTCACCTTACTGTGTGAGTCTATTCTGGCATTGATCAGTCCCTCCAGGATCAGCTGTGTAAGTTCATCTTCCAGAGCAGCCACTGTAGTATTAAAAGCAGTGGCCATCTTGTGCATATCTGCTGACACATAGGGGCTGAAGTACTAGGAAGAAGAAAATACTCGGTTGCCAACTGTACTCCCTGCCCTCTGGAAAGCCATGGGAAAAGCAATTACAAAGATATGGCCTTTCTTACTGTTCATCCAACTCTGAGGATTACAGGAACAATTACCTGAATAAGGGCACGATTTCGAATCTGGGTATAAAGTGTCCTGACATGAGGTGCAAGGTACATGTCCAGCAGCAGGTTGTCCTGTGCAAACAAACACGAACACAAACAAAAGAAAAATAGACATCCAAATGTTATTCTTATGTTCTGAAACAAATATGTGAATATAACTATATATTAAGGGTATTACACTACAGCAAGACAATACCATAAAACAAGAAGGAATAAATATAGCAATCTATTTTAAAAAACTTGCTAAACTACTCCCAATTTCTGTTTGCCTTATCACGAGACAGAAGACACAGAAGAGATGAACACTCTTAGTAGCTACTCTTAACAGTCTCTGCTTCTCACTGAAGGCAGGCGAAGGGTTTGGTTCTGCACTCTTACCCTGCAACTCACCTTCATCTCATCCAGCATCTTCAGGCATGAAGCATATTTAGATTCATAAAACTTGAAGATGATGTCACGAACCTGTGGCTCCAGCTCCAAAAACAATTTGAAGGAGCTACAGGTAAAGATAACAGTGGTAAGACATTGGAACCCACCACTTAAATACCCCACAACCCCATCACTCCCAGTTGCAAGGTTACAAACGCTCACTAAGATTTGAAAATGCCAAGATTTTACACTCTAACAGACCACACAAACCATTTTCAACAGGGCTGGGAGCCTGGAACACAAAGAAATGCAGCGCAGTATCAGAGCTATGGTGAAGGAAGGCAAGAGACTTTTGACAAACCAAGCAGTAGAAGTGTTTGTCAACACAAAACAAAAAAATATTAGTGGGAATAGGTCAAAATGAGGACACACCACCAGAAAAAATAAGGCCATGTTTGTGCATGCACTGTGGTCTGCACTGGACAGGTTTTTTGTTCCCTTTCAAAGCACAGCCTTCACCAAGGACAGCATGGCTCAGGCAGGTTGAGCATGCAACTGTCTTAGGAAAATAACCTAAGTGTGGGAAATCTTTGGGATGCACGCTCTTTCTCAGTGCTCTCCCAATTCTCCATCACAGATTTTCAAACCCTGGGATCTCAACCTATGAATCAGCCAATAAAATAGCAGTATAACAACCCTTTTCTCACATCAGTTTAAAATTATTGCTTCCATTCACTTGGCTGACAGGAATTCAGTATCATTGCAATTCAGTCTATGACATACAAATACCCATTTTCTTCCCACAGCTGTAATTCTCTTAACCTCATATACATCACAGTTAGATTATGCCACAAGTTGCATTAAGAATTATTAAATTGTATTAATACAACTAATGTACACCAGAACACACGATAACATGATAGCAAATTATCTTACAGCTGCCTCTGTAGGGTTCTACACCTCTGAATTAATATCCGATATGCACCAGTGATGGAGAGAGAAGACTGGGCTATGCATATGCTGGATTTGACCTGGGCTGGAAACTGCCATTGTAATATGAAAATTAACCACTGTGGTTTAGATAGTGAAATGTCACTTAATGTTACAGCCAAACCGGGGCTCTGTGATTCTTTTTCTCCTATATAAGAAAGCTATTACTCCTGACAGAATCCACTCTCAACTCCCATGTCCCAAAAGACGTCCAGGACATACAAACTCCTCTCAAGGCATCACTTACCTGCTGGAGATAACATTTCGTTGCAGTTCCTGACGGTCAAAGGTAGCAAGGGCACAGAGACCACCATACACAGCCACATTGCTGGGAGACAACAGCTGAAAAGAGGGCAGGGAGAGACAGGAAGCTGTCACCTGACTACTAAAATGGCAGAAGGATGGAGTTAAGTATTCTACCCCAGTCCTCCCCTTCACATAGTGACAAGATTAGGCCCTGTCAAATGCAGTGGAACCACTCAGCATGCTCTCAGGCATTCACCCAGAGCCTGAGTGACTGTCCACTGTTAGGAGAGCAGAAGCCAATTCCAACAGACAGACTGAGCTACGAATACACAGGTCTGAGATGTGAGATACACAGATCTCACAGGCAGTTCCTACAGGTGGAGAACCCAAGAACTGAGACTAAAAAAGAAAAATGAAACTCAAAACTGAAAGCCCAAAAAACCAACACAATTCACAGCACCAAACTATACAGGAGTGCTGTGAGTATAACTACAACATCTGAATTTTAAAGCCTAATACTTAGATGAATTACAACCCCTTCAAGACATGCACACACCTCCCTCTTGCTCCTCACCTCAGGGAAATCACAGTGATCAAATGATGCCAATAAGAAGCACTTTGCTGCCTGTTTGTACTTCCGAGCAGCTAGTTCAGCCAAGCCTAGGAACCAAGAAAAGTTAGTTTATGACAGGATATTAATGAGAAACTGCAAAATCTGGAGAGTCCAACAGGCCCCTGGCATGGTTGCTAGTGCCTTCAATACTGAAATGAGACTCTCAGGCAGTACCTAGTGTCCTTTGAACTACGCTGACTCACACTGGCATCCTCTCTGAAGAAATTTAGGGAGAAGAAAGAAATAGCAAAAACAAGTCAGCAGTTACATCTCATCAGCTCTGTCAAATTTTGCATTTCTGGTGAGAAAATAAAGTCTGACAAATCTGAGAGAAAAAATAAACCAAGTGTATACTGCCATCAAAGAACCCTGTGGACAGCTAACAGGCAGAATGATGGGGAGACAATACAGGAAGCTGAAGGATTCACTCACCTGCTGCACATTTCAGTTTGGTGAGAATTGCTTGTGTCTGGCTGTCTCTTTCTCCTCTTTGCTAAAAGTTAAGAAAAAGCCGTAGTGAGCAAACAGTATGAAAACCATTTCAATCACAACTGTCCTTGAGATAATTCATCCTAATAATTAACTTGCAAATCTCAACAGCAAGATAAGTTCATCTTACTTGTCTTGGGAAATATAACAAGAATAAGGATAGGAAGTCTGGTTTTACCAGGAGTCAGATTTCCTACAAACAAGTCATGGGAGAAAAGCAACAACAGAAAAGAAATAGTACAGCAGCTAAGGAGACTGAATTAGAGAACGAATACGCTGTAAAATGAAAGGAGTCTTTAGAGAGCAAGTAATGAAAGGGGAAAGGAATGAATAGTTTTACAAATTTTGTAGACAGAAAACAAAGGGAATACTCATGCAAGTTAAAAAGCAGGACCTTACTTCTGCAATTTCTGGTGTAGACTCAGCCTTGCTTACATAGCTCAGAACATGAGACCAATTCTGGAGGTAGACACTGACCTGTAGAGAGCCAGAAACAGTGCAGAACAGGCATGGATAAATGGTGTTACTTTAGATAGGCAGTATCATTACAGACATGAGAAGTGTAACCACAGCAAAGTATAGGTGGACTTCACAGCAGGTATCAGAAAGACACCAAGTACCACTTCCTGCAAACCCTCCTACCTTGATGACATTGAGGCACATGTTGATAACATGTTTAGCACTGGTGCAGTAATCACGGGCTCGTGAGTAACACTTGAGAGCGTTGCTGAGGTCCCCACAGTCAAGGTAATGATCCCCTAAGTCATCATGGCCTCTCCTGGAGCACAGGAATTAAAACACCAATGAACTGTGTGCTCAGAAAGGGACACAGTCAGTTTGTTCCAAACAAGTAACTCAACACACTGACCTAAGGCACTGAATGCAGCTGACATCCTGTGTTAGGTGCCTGGAGGAGCAAAATGCTCTTCCAATTGCTCCAGCAGAGCCTTCTGCATCTCACCTGATACTCTCCTTGATGGAGTTCCCTTTGTAATTTTTCAGATCTGTGTCGAGTTTCTCCAGTTTAAGAAGAGCCTTTTTGCGTGTAGCTTCAACCCAAGCTGAGTCAAGAGGAGGGGGTTCAATTCCACTATCAGGGACAGCATCGGGTGTATTCTGCAGTTCTCTGAAAGGAAAGAGTTCGAGTGGGGCTATTATGTTGCAAACTTTTCAAAACAGAGGTCTGCTAAGTGGCCCTGCTATCCTAACAAACAGCTCTCCACACATAAACCAGACCAAAGAGAAAACAAAGGGGCAGGGGGAGGATGCCAAGATCTGCAGTGAAAACAGTAACATCGATCATGCAAGCACCACAGATGTTTACAAATTCTTCTCAAAGTTATCCTACTGATCTTTTGCAGATATTTTATTGGCAAGCAAGTCATCGCTAATTTTTCAGAAACTACCTGCTCTATAAAACAACTGAAAGCAAGTTAGTAACAGAGCTGCAATGGAAATATTTAATGACTCTAAAGAGTCACTGAATCCAATCAAACATCTCTATGTGGGACACAGGGTGCAAGTGTTTCTGAGCTCTCTCCCCAGTGATACTGCAATGGCTCGGTAGCAAACCTACACTGTACAGATACTATCCAACTTCTTTTCCCACCCAGCTCAGATCAACAATACTGGCACTGAACTCACATGCCAGTATTTTAAACATTCTGAGTTTTTTGGGTGGGGTTCTCTGGGTGTTTTTGCCAACAGTCCTTTTTACAGACTGCAAGGAACATACTGTCACACATCCATGGTAAAGACTCCCAGGGCAAAACAGAATAGAAATCAATATGCATAGGAACAAAAATAATGCAAAGACGGAGTGTGGATGGCCAAGTGATGTATCAAAGGCTACCCTCAACCAGCAAACTTGCTGGGGGAGAGGGACAACCAAAAGAAGAAAAACAGACATGGTTTTAATTTCTGAAAACCAGAGAATCTATAAGAGGCTTCATCTCCAGAATCTACTAAGAAAAGACAACTGTGCTAATTAATATTTGAAGCAGTTGCAAGGACTAAACTCTCCTCAATATCTACCTGCAGCCTTTTAAAATACTAAGACTTCAGAATGAGATTATGTCTTTAGTGTTAATCTTTTTAAAAAGCATGAGACCTTAGGCCTGAACACAGATATTTCACTGCTATCAAATTCTAAGGGTAAAGACAATTTGCACAAGGAACACGCTATTATTACATGCAAAGTCCCAAACTGTGGCACACTGGTCTTAAATAAAAAAAGCTCCCCAGGTTCCCATGACCTTTTAGTACCTGGTGGCCTCAGACAACTTTCTGTGTATTTCTTCGTACACATCAACATTGAAAGTTCTCTGGACAAATGACAGAGCCATCTTGAGAGCTTCCACCCGCAGCTGGGGGCAGTGATCAGCAATGAACTGCAGTCGCTCGATTCGCATCAGCCCACTGTAGCTCGAGGCATACTGCTCCAAATCCTGCAAACAAGACCTGCTCTTAAAAAGTGAAGATGCAACACAAAATCAGGCTACTACTCTGTGACCTGCACAGGTTTGCCTGCAGCCCTGACCCCTCTATGGAAGGCAACACGACTCAGACAAATGAAATATCAGGTAAGCTTATTCCATTTCTGTTTTCTTCAAAGGTTAGTAATTTCCTCAGAAACATGCAGTACATCACAATGTCCCTTTCTTTATTTCAGGTGTGATGCTGTCCATAAGGCGTCAGCTCAAGAATTGTAAGCATCAGCTGAATCACCTCCTAATAACTTTATCAAGTTACCATCATTTGAGCTGAAGTTCCCTAAACCACACAACCATTCCAAATGTAGTTCTTCCTTGAAAAATAATTAAAAATAGTTTCCATATTACAGTTTGCATTCTTTTTTTCCCACTAATTTCTTAAAATATCTCCTCTGAACAAATAGGATCTTTTACTCTTGAGGAAGGATTTGAGTTTTAAATTCTGAACACTTAAGAGATTTTAAGCCTTGGGGTGGAAGGGAGAAGGGAAGCACAAAATGACTAGTAAAGATATGATACAGCATGGCAGGGAGATTGCCTGAAGGCAGAAGTCCACATGCGAGCAACTATAGCAGTGTTCAGGGTGAAGTCAAGCATTCAGGCAGTAGGAAACACCCAATGCAGGTTACCTGCCCACATCTAATACACATCCTGTGTCATGTCTGACCCCCTCACCCCTGCATGTCTAAATTAAGGTACCATTACAGATGTCACAGTAACATTTTCTAACATGAATGACCTTGCTCTGAGATTTAAACACCACCGTGTGCACTGAAAATTTGAAAATTTCCTGCTTTATTTGCCTCATAACTTCAAACATATGACACAAGCATTCTTTCTTCCACAATTTCACGCCTGATGGCGTGCAATATTCCTGAAATCCCCAAGTAATTTCACTTTACTCTTCAGCTCTTTGAATGTCAAAGGGTATTTATGGTCCTTCACATCAGTTACAGTGAAAAGAAAATTGCTAAGTTTTGTGGCACACTAGATCTATAGCAATAGCAAAGACAAAGGTCACAACATAATTGCTTCATCACTCTAGCTTCAGAACAGAATTGAAATGCAATGAAATCAAACAAGGTATCAGGTCATATGCTAAAAACCAAACCAAACAACAAAGACCAAACTAACAAATCAAACAAAAAAACACTAAGAAAGAGAGTTGTGCAGTACACAGCGAGTAACCATGTGACAATTGCTAATAATGCACAGGGACAAGAGGAAACATTTAAAGCTCCAGAAGTTATGTGAGATCCAAAGCTTCCTAACTAAATGCTTTATTTTGCAATTTTAATGTTGCTTTAACTTTTTCCAGTCAACATTTTTGTTCTCTTCTGCAACAACCATCTCTCACTGTTACAGAGCTAAAACATAAAAATTGCTCAAAGTATCAAACAATCAACTAAAAATTGAAGAAACTGATATGAGCAAATACAGCCTTTTATAACTCTATAGTTCTGTGGGCTTTAGTCAGTCTCCAGAGGATCAAACAATGAAATAATTCAATCCTGATTTATACACTTAAAGCACCTGAGCCTTGCTCCTCAAAGACCAAGCCTCAAAATACAGGAATTACACATCTCTAAGTAATCAGAGATGGACTAAACTATCTCAGAATGGAAACTGTCTCAAACAGGCAGCAAGCAGGAAGCCACAAAGCAGTGACTCCTTCATCTCAGAAAGTTCGGTAAAGGTCAGTATGTGACTAAGAACTGCAGAAGAGATCATGGCTATCTTACCCACCTTGCTTTGAAGAGAATCTATTAATCTCTACATAACAATTTTATAAAGAGTAAAATGAGGGTTTTTCCAAAACCTCAAGGGAGGAGTCCATGCGCAAGAAATGTAATCCACTAGCCCTCAACCAGCACATACCAGAGTGGGGTTCTCCACCACATAGTTGATATCAGGTGCATTTTGCTGATCTTCTTGTGGATCTACGTCAATCTGCATGGGCTCTACTGCACCCTAGAGTTGAAAAAGGAGGTGAAAAGTAGTTTATTACATTTGGGCACAAAAAAACCCTATGTGATTCAATCTATTAAGAACCTGCTTAAATACACATTCATTTTTTAAATGAAAAAACACTCCTCAGTCTTTGGACATGTTTAGGATTTTACCATAGCAATACCACTACTCAGCACCATGCTTTGTCTCAAACAAGCAGCACTAAGGCTCAGCATTCCGCCAGAACATCTTATTTTGTTTGTTAGATTATTCGGCAAGACAGTGAAGGGGTCAATAAATCTGGTTCTACAAAGTATCTCAGGCATGCACACTAAATGCCATATGATGTTGCATTTCTCTTCCTTGAAAAAGTGCAGGCATTAACATTCAGTTCAAGCTCCAGAAATACCCCCAAAATCACAAGAACCTTTCAAAGGTGTCTTGCTCGATGCTTAAAAGTAGTTGTTGGGTATTTTTCGGGGGGGGGGGGGGGAGGGAGAGAAAAAAAAATGACAACTGTTACACTTTTAAGGATATTAAAAAAATGTAAAGAACAGAATGCAGAATGATAATTCCAGAGGTCTCAACAAATACTGGGGAAAAACTTATTATCAGTTGAACTATCCCACCATCTGAGTCCAACTGGTCACGCAGACTGTCTTTTGCAGAACAGCACAATTTTTTTCTCCCAGTATATCTTGCACTGCTTTGAACAAGTTCAGTGACATCAGTACAGCTACATCAAGACAATGCCTGCAGGTCTTCCCATTTAAGAAGTAACCTGGTTAGCACTTGGATGGGAAATCGCCTGGGAATACTGGCTGGGGTTAAACCAGTACAAAGACCAATTTACTATACAATCCCACAAACAAATGCCAGCATGAAATTCTTTTCCTTCTCCTAGTCAAAAGTGTGCTGAACATTCACCCCACACATTATTTTCCTGATTTTAACTCAGGAAAAACAAGTTGAATGTCTTCTTATAATATGCTGAATACATGCAGATATTGCCATAAGCAACACCTGATTTGAAGCAAATTGTACAAGTGGGCCTTAGAAAAGACAAAAACACTTTGTCCCCACCAACACCAAATTATTTCCATGGTTTAATCGATTTTGTTGTCTGTTAAGAAATAAATTATTAGAGGGATTTGGGGGTTGGGGTGGGGTGTGTGTGAGGAGAAATAGGGCAGCTCCAGATTCCCTAGCTCTAAAATTTGATCCATCCTGTATTCCCCCACAGCCTGCTTATTCTTTCACAGACTGGTATGTACCAAATACACACGTGTCTCAACACTGATGTGGGCCTCCCAAAATCTAAAGTAAAGCATATAAATGTCTGTTTCCTAGCTTGGTATTCTCTGCATGAAGGAAAGGGAGACGGATGCAAAGGAGAGGTTGTTCAGATCACCACCCAGGAAAACCATGCATATGAATATTTAAGACATCATACATTGAGACCATTACTTTTTCCATTTTTATCTACCTTATCTCTTTTCTTATATCAGAAACACTAAGTGTCAGGGTTGCTTTTTTTAGGCTGTGTTTACCTACCATAGTAAAAACCTGATATGGGCTCCTTAGAAAAAATCAGCATTACAGAAATTAACAGTAACTCCAGCTGGTGGAACAGAATGATTTGTGTCCTGCTGCACTGGTAGGCTGTACTCCGCCTTTCTCTCTTAACTCCCTCATAAGGAAAACCACAAGTGGGCTGGAAGTCCCACTAGGACAGGCAAACTCAGACATTTTCAAGCTAACTCTTTATTTTGGAAGATGCAAAGTTCAGTTAAGAACTACTCAAGCCAATAAAATAATGCTCCTTCCCCAAGATATCCTGAGCCCAGCAGGGCACTGATTGGAAAGTTCCTCACAAGGCCTCATACAGGCCGATTCTCCGGTGCTCCCCTGAAGTCTCCCACTGTACTCACAAAAAGGCGTGACCTACTGCGGGGGTGCAGTCCAGACCTGTCACTGATGAAGAAGCTGAGCTGGATGCTGAACTATCCCTCATTCTGTCCCGACTTCCTGCAACCCTGTGCCCTGACAGAGAACTTGCTAGCTGCTAAAGGAAAGAGAGACCGTTAACTCGCAAAGGGATCACCTGTGCTGTTACTGAAGGTCCAGGCTCTGTACACCGACCCTCTCTGGGCTCCTGCGGCTTTCCCCCTGTACTGCCGACTCTCAGTTCCTCTTCATCGCCACCTCGGTATACCCTGCGCCACTACCCAGGCCCTACCTACGGCACATACAACGCGGAAATCAAGCAAGGGGGCCGCTGCAGCGGCGAGGAACGCCGCGGGCGCCGGCAGACTCTAGGCTGGGCGGTGTTCACTACGACAGGCAGCGGAAGCGACACAATGGACCCGGCGGAAGGGCGAACGAGGGCTTAGGCCGGCCGAGAGCGGCTCCCCTTCCCGCGAGACAGCCACGGGCGCGCAGTCGAAGGGGAAGGCCGCACCGCGCCACCCGGAGGCCGCGGCAGGGCCAGGCCGCGCCGCGCCATCAAGTACCGCGCGGGAGGAGCGCGGGAGGAGCGCGGGAACGGCCGCGGGGGTCCCGGCGGCTGTCCCGTACCTGCAAGTTAAAGACCTGGACGGGCAGCGGCATCCTTCCCCTCGCGGCTACCACTTCCGGTTGACCTCCCCGCCTCTCCCTCCGCTTCTGCTTCCACTTCCGGTCCGCGCGGCGCCGCCAAACCGCGTCCGACAGGTGAAGCCCTTAAAGGGGCCGCGGCCCGTCTCGCCTCTCCCGCCGGAGAAGTGGGTGGCGGCGTGGGAGCGGCGCTCTCGTCGCTGTGGGGCCCAGCCGCGCTCGGCGGCCCACGCCGCCCGGAGCGGTCTCCCCCGCCGGTCAGAGTGGCCCGGAGTGCCCGGGCGCTGCTTTCTGTCGACCGCGGCGACAGCCTGGCTGGGACCGGGCGCTGCTGGGGAGAGTGGAAGGCGCGGCCGGGCTCCCGGCGCCGGCCCGCCCGAACCCGACGCCTGCCTGCGGGGCCATGAGGCGGCGGCGCAGCGCGGCGCGGGCCCGCGGGGCTGCAGCATGAGCCCCTGTCTGGGGCTCCGCAAGGCCTGCTTCCTGCTGTCCGTTAGCGCTGCCGCCCTCCTCCTGCTCTTGCTGCCGCGGGGGCAGCCCCCCGCCGCGCCCCGCCGCCGCCCACCGCCCGCCGCCTGGTCGAGCAGGCCCCCGCCTCAGCGGCCGGTCTCCGGGAGCAGCGCTGTGTCCGGCACGCGGACGAGCTCTCACGGGCAGCCGGGGGACGGGGCTGGAGGCCTCGCCGGCAGCTCGCAACACGTGCGGAAGAGCCGCCTTGGGACCGCCGGGGACTCGGGCAGAGAAAGCCTGGAGCTGAAGGACATCTTCATTGCGGTGAAGACCACGAGGAAGTACCACAAGAGTCGGCTGGACTTGCTGCTTCAGACCTGGATCTCCCAGGCTAGGGGACAGGTGAGCTGGGGCAGGCGGCCGGGCCCTCGCCCCGCGGCTTTCCCGGACGGCAGCTGCGTTTTCTTCTTGCGTGTGTTGAAAACGTCTTTCCTAGGGAGACCGGGGAAGGTCTCAGCCTACCTCCAAAACAGTTCATCGTTGTTTGAGGTAGTTAGGTGCAAGCTGGGATCAGTGGTCCAAGCAGAAGCAGTTTGCTGACTGGAAAATGCTACAGGATAGTGAAAGATCCCGAGTGCTGGCACATCTAAGCCGAAGTTTTGTCTAAGTAGTTCAGCGACTTAGGATTTCCATAGAATAATGTGGAATTCGTTCTCTTGTTTGGGAATTTTAGTCCATTCAAGCGTGTTAATGCTTTGCCCAGCAGTTGGAACAAGACTGTTACCACCAGGACCTTTCCACCCCTTCTTTCTTTTCTTTTAGCTTGCTTAACACCTGAGGATGACTCTTAGCCAGAGAGAGGGCATGGAGTTGCAGAGGGAGGGAGGTATTACCAAAAAGACAGTCATTCCTGTATGGAAATGAGCTGTCTGTAGCCTTAGCTGAGGGAAGTAAAATCTTGGATGCTGAAATGAATTATTATTTTACTGACTCTTCTGTTTGCAGTGTAAAAGCTTATCAAATAAGGCAGGGGGTAAAGTTGCTGGGGTTCTCCCCACCCCACTTCCGATGGCTACTGTGAAGTAAACTAACAAGAGAGAAACCTTCAGACTTCTTACTGCAGATGACCAAAGCTTGGAACTAGTTTCTGAAATTCTTGAATGTGGACAAACCATTTTTGTCTTCCACAGACATTTATATTCACGGACTGGGAGGATCGGGAGCTACGTCTGAAAGCAGGTAAGCTGTGTAGTGTAGGTGCACGCTGTCTGCTAGAGCTGAGTGTTGTCTCTGTTGTACTTGCCCTAGAAGTTGTTCTTTCATGCTGTACAAGCAATTAGGGAAGTTAAGATAGAGAAAACTTCTCCTTTCACAGGAGAATATGCTGCTCCTTCTTACCACCTGGATAAGATGCCTGGAACTTCCTGAATACTGGGTTCCCCTTTGCATCTACTTCCCTCTTGTTAGTAATGTTAAGTCCATCTGTTCCAAGGTTATATTAGGTATTTCCTTTGCATATGGTCTCATGGCACTATTCACATACCCCCTGCTCACATTTTTGTGTTCTGTACAGCCCACATGCCATATGCATAACCGATAAGACCTGTCCTGCAATTTACTCTCCATTTGCACTTCAGATGTACTGTATTTGTGCCAAATGTGCCCTTCCTTTGTAGTCTTTTCTGGACTACACATGCTTCTCAAACTGAAAGAGCTGGTCTCTGATTTTCTAGGGGATCATATGATCAACACCAACTGTTCTGCTGTCCATACCCGGCAAGCTCTCTGCTGCAAGATGTCTGTGGAATATGATAAATTCCTGGAATCTGGGCAAAAGTAGGTGAAACGCATTGTTCTGATTGACTTTGTTTCTTCCAGTTCTGTATTCACAGGAAACTTGAATAACCTTCTCTGGTCCAGTAAGGAGTGCAGTGTTAGCTAGAATGTAGTAATGAGCAGAGGGAAGCACAGTATGAAGCCGTGTTTGTAAACCATCATTATCTGAAACATGGAAAAGATGATAATCTAAAGAGGGTTATTCATTTCAGCCTCTTTCCCGAATTAGAATCTGTGGGTGCTTTCATCTTGCAAAGTTTGTCATTCAAGACAATGGGAAATACTTTTCTGCTCCAAGCATGGAAGACTAAGACTTAGCTGTTAAACCTGTAACTCGTTTCTTTGCTCTGCATAACTTTCTTTTGTTTTGTTTGAAGATGGTTTTGCCATGTAGACGATGACAACTATGTGAACCCTCGGACTCTCCTGCGTCTCTTATCTGCCTTCTCACACAGCCAGGATGTCTACGTGGGACGACCAAGCCTGGACCATCCCATTGAAGCAGCTGATCATGTCCAAAGTGATGGATCAGTAAGCAAACTTTGCAGTTATTCTGAAAGACATCCTGACCTTCTAAGCTTTTAAAACCTTGAGAGTTTGTAGGATTTCCTGATAAAAACAAGTTATATAATCCGCAAGCAGCAAACCTGGTGGTTTTTCAGAGGTAGGGTGCTGGGTTAAATGAATCTTCAGTCTGACCTCCTGTGCATATGTACAATAGGTTTGTTTCCTGGGTGGATGTCTGTTTCTCTTCCTTTACTCAGGTATGTTGATGATCTCCAACAGTATGATATCCAATTGAATCTCAGGTTTCCTTCCCTGTTCAGCCAAACGGGAAAAGCTGATCATCAGTAACTACTGTGTGTTTTTCTTATTGTTCTTCAGAAGACAACCGTGAAATTCTGGTTTGCCACAGGTGGAGCAGGATTCTGTATCAGCAGAGGTCTTGCCCTGAAGATGAGTCCCTGGGCCAGGTAAACACTGTTCCTAGCTGACCTCCATCAATGTGTGTGTGTTAGGTTTTAAAGCATATTTCATCTCCTGTGCTCCATCTCACAGCTTGGGTAATTTCATCAGTACTGCAGAAAGAGTGCGTCTTCCTGACGACTGCACTATTGGCTACATCATTGAAGGGCTGCTGGAGGTAAAGCTGCTGCATAGTCCATTATTCCATTCCCATCTGGAAAATCTGCAAAGACTACAAGGCGAGTCTGTGCTGCAACAGGTAGGGAAGCCTCATGTTCTGTTCTTATAATTACATCTCAATCTGATCACAAAGAGTACTCTCCATAGACTTAGCACTCTTCGGCAAAGAAGGATGTCTGCAGACTTGCTCTGTGCCTGGGGAGCTGTGTCCCATCCAGTTCGTTCAGTTAGGTAAAAAGCACACTTTCAGCTTATCCAATTAGGTCATATCGCAGTGTCCTCCTTTGGGTATATGTTCTGCTACACTGAGCCCTGATATGATGCTTCCATCTCATTCTAAACTCTGACTTTCCGTGAGTCACAATAGGAGCAAGTGTAGAAGGGGGCAGTATTTAGTTTACTTGCTATAAAAGAAAGTATTTGTGTCTTTGCCTAACAAAATCTGTCTTAATTCGTGCTATTAAAAAAGACTAGTGTAGCAGCTGTAACAAGTACCTCTTCAACAGCTAAGACATAGTTAAATGTCTGATCATTTTTAAGAATAATTTGTCTGAATCTCAAGAAACAGAATCAATGTTTCTAGGAAAAAAAACCCAAGTATTTTTAATTGCTTGGATACCTTTTTACTCGTGGGCAGTAGATGGAGCTGTAAGGCTAGTCAGAGGTTTTGCCTGTTGCTGTTTGGCACCGTGAACAAATGGGAGTGTGGTTTTGCCCCTGCAAACTGCTTGGCTACATTTTCCTGGCAATTGTATTAGGCAGCAGAAGCATACACTTAGGGCCAAATTCCAGCAGCATGTAATCTCCTTCACACTAGTGAATTTAACTGTAGGCTGAGTACAGCCTTGTGTTGATCATCATTGTTTCCCTGAGTAAAAAGCTGTCCCAAAATCCAGAATATTTGCAATCAGAAAGAAACTCATTGTGTACCTGGCACCTGAAGATTTCTTAATGCAGGGCTTCTGTGGTAGAATAGCAGCAAATTGGAGTTTGAGTTATAAATGTTGCTGCCACGTTTGTCACATGGCAGTCCTTCGCATGCCATTTAACAGCCAAATGTTTCTGTTTTCTCTCTGTGCTAAGACACTACTATTGCAGATTTCAGGCAATGGCCAGTGAGGATGAACATAAGTTATTTAGTGAAGATACAGGTATTAGTGGAATTAATGCCCTTAGAAAGCTGCTTGTAACTCATCTTGTCCTTCAAAGCAATGCAACTTTCAGCTCCTTTGTTTATTCTTCCACGTTGCCTTTAAGTGAGCAGTGGTCCATTTGATAGCTACTGTTCAGTGCCAGTATTGCTTATATTAAAACTAAACACTGTTTTTCAGATGTAATCCACAGTTCAGATTAGACAGGATCCTTGGAGTCTTTCCTTATACCTTATGAATAATCCTACTGTCCCCACTGTTCTCTGCACTAGTGTTAAAATCATGAAATTTTATTTGCTTTTACAGGTAACCCTAAGTTATGGAGACCCTGAGAACAAACACAATGTTGTGAGTGTGGGAGGAGTGTTTGGCCTTAAACAAGATCCAACACGGTGAGTGTCCACTTCCAAAACAAGTTCTCCCTACCTTGTTCATGTTTACCAACTGTAAGATGTTCAGACCCACTTCTGGGGTTATTTTCTCAGGTCAGCTCTTGTTGCTGTGCCAAAGGCAGATAGACCCACTCTCTCCGCTCAAACTGCGGCACATGCATTGTTAGTATGTTCCCTGTATGGAGAATTCCAATCTAATTTTTTTTCCCTTTCTTCATAGATTCAAATCTGTCCATTGTCTGCTCTATCCTGACACTATTTGGTGCCCTGCTAAGAAGATGTCATAATTCTTGTCCAGTCATTGACACTTGTATCTTACCTAGTTTGCATAAGATGGGAGTTGTGGTGGACTTTTTGTGGTGGTTTTTCTTCTTCTGGAAGACAACCAGAGGTATCTACAAAGGAGGTAGACAGACTCTATTTACAAACGCAAGGTGTTCAGCTGCAGCCTGGGACATTCCAAGAAGAATGCTCGTTCTTTTGTTTAGCAGGTCTTTGCATAATGACTACAGGCATATGCGTTTGAGTCACTTCACACTTTCATCTGATGTCATGTGAATCTGTGCTTGGACACACATTAGGCAAATGCAGTACTTACAATGTTAGCATTCTTACTGCTGCTATAGGCTTTTAGAGGCCACTGTCTTGAAGCTGGAGTGCTATAGCAGACTGTAGTCCCCATGGTGACAAGAGGGGAAGTTTTCACTCATCTTTCTTGGGAACAGAATTATTTAAGAGCTTCTATGGTCTGACATATTAAAACTCCCAACTGTGGGCCAGAACAGGGTCTGTAAACACCAGAAATCCTGGAATCATTAGGGTAAAAAAGGCTGAAAGCTTTAGTCATGGGAAAACTTGTGTAAGGGTAAGCTTACTCAGGACTGGGTAAGAGTTGCTTGCATGCATGTTCTCCCCTGTAGTCCATGTGTACCTCCCATGGAGGTGATTGTCAGACTTGTCTCTTACCAGCTGAATTGCAGTGGTTGTTGATTATAGTGGTGGTCTGCCAGATCCAAGCCTATTCCCTTGATGTTTGATCCTGAAGAAGCATTTGCCAGACTACATGTTAATCATCTCTCTTGTGTTGCCCGCAGCAGGTGGTATGAGCTAGAGCATGCTCACTGGCTGAGGAAATGCCTTGTTTCTGATGCTGTGCAGTGTCTTCTGCTGTCTGTGAGGGAGGTGGGATGCGCAATAGCAGTTAATGTCCTAAGGAAGTTTCTGATGGTATCATTTGAGGACCTTTAATTGTATGACTGTGACTACTCCAGTTTGTTCCGATAATCTGTTGATTACCCTAAGGTCTAGATCAGTGTTTATTCAATGTTTCAATAAACAGTTCATGCCATCCCTAACAGGAGACTGTACAAGCACAAAGGTGGAAGTTCAGTGCTGCTGCTTTTTAAGTTAAGTAACCTTAGTTTAGAAAATGGAAGAAATGGAGCTACATTTGTTTCCTTTGCTGTTAGCCCAAACTTCGGCCATGTCAATCCTACCTGACATGAAGAACAGTATAAAAAATGACTCTGCAAAACCTCTGTTTATTCTCACAAACTCTTCAGAAAATACTTGCTAGATTAGTGCTAGAGTGTGAGGCTGAGTTAATGGGTGAATAATAGAATGACATTATGCCACCTGGAACTGTAGTTGAGGGCTAGAATGTGGACCTAGCAACAGTTCCAGATTTCTGACCAGCTGAGCTGTGGACTTCAGCTTATTGCTTTATGTGCTGCCATCTGAAAAGTGGTGTCATGTACGCAGAGGCCTGCAGTGGATCCAAGTATGAAACTGAGCAGTGGTGGCAGTGCTCTGCCACACACTGCTCCCCACACTGTTTTTAACAGAAACTTGTCAGTGCCTGCCTGGATACAGTGTCCTCTCTGCATGATTTTAGTTAATTCCACTGAGGAGCAAACAAGATGATGCTACTTGCTCCAGTCCTGCAGCTCATGCTTAAATTTCTCCTACCATGAGGTACTAGAATAAGAATGCTGCAGGGAATTGGCTCCAAGTCCAGCTTAGCACAGTGGCTGTTCCAGAACAGTTACACCTGTAACTCTAACAGCCTGTTCAGAGGAGGACTTGTGGAATTCCAGGTTGTGGAATGTTCTACCTCTTTATTAGGTCTTCTGCTCACTAGAACTGAGTTGTTCTGTGGTTTTAATGATTTGTTGTTAATGGCTCTGGAGATTCCTGGTATCTGCAGGAGTTTTTTTTCTTTTCTTTTCCTAAGCCTTGTTGTCAACAATGTTTCAACAACGTTTTCAACATTTCAACAATTCTTGTTTTCAGTCTCCTGGAGCAGAAAGCCATGAAACTTCATGAGTTCTTGATAAGGTTTTGCCTTCAAACACTGATTCTGCACTCTTCTGATGGAGCCTTTCTTTCTCTTCCCTTGATAACAGCTCTTGTAAGGTATCACAGCCAGCATGGACTGGGTAGTGATTGTAGCAAGCTCAAGTTTAAAAATGACTGTAAGTGGATGGCAGCAAAACTGAGTAGTACAAGTTGCAAACTGTAGTCACTGGTCACCCTGACATACCTAGTTTAAAGAACTGCCATACTCTAAGCTGGTAGGGTGTTTCTTAAACAGAGAAATGACTACATTCTCCTGCATGTCAATAGGGAACTGTTCAATCTGTCAAACTTCTAAGGTTTCTTGTGTTGACAATGCCTTAGGCTGTGTGGATACATTTGGATGCAGCTTTTTAATCAAACTACTGTCTCATACATAAAGTGATTCTGCAAAATAAATATTTAAATATGTCAAAGCCTGTTTTGTGATATTTCTTTTACATATTCTCTATTCCAAAAGAGGACCATAAGCCCTGCAATCCAGAAAGCTACATCCTCCTGCCAGGCTCTTGTGATGCCAAATGCCTAAAAATCGTGTGAGTTAGCACACTTGGATGTGCACAGGAACAAACATGGATGAGAAGATCCTGGCAGAATCTAATGATTAACAGAGTAAAGTAAAAGAATTTAAATAAGAACTAAGTTAATTGTTATAAATTTGTCTCTGCACTTTCCTATTCTGTTTCTGCATTTACTAAATATGCTGCAGGAGCTCTTAAATTTAAAGAGTCCTCAGAAAGCAATTATTGGATTGGGTAGTATTACAGACCTGGCTGATTGCATTGTGTGATTGTGCTCCTCTGCAGTTACACAATGCCAGCTCTGTACATCAGGTGGTGCAACTGCCATGCTATCATTGGAAATAAACCGTGGTGTAGTAGCTCATCTGTGACCTCTTAGCTAGCTCTAGCCTGTTTGTCTGCTGTACCTAACACGTTGCTATTGTCACACGGGTGCTGCATGAGAAGTCATGCATGCCCAGATCCTCGGGCCCACAGAGCCAGTGTACTTAGAGCTATTTTCTAGGCAGTGACTATTAGGTGAGGGCTGCAGCTCGAAGTGGACAGAGAAGTCCTGAGTCTTTTCATCCTCTGGTGAAACAGCCTGTTTTCCTGCGGTATCTCGGTGATACTTCAATGGGAGCCAGAGCCTAGAAGACTGACCTCCGCACCCCCCTCTCCTGCTGGGCGGGCCCAGGAACGGCTTCTTCCTGATTCCTCCGGGAGCTGCAGCAGGGCGGGTCTGCGCTCTGCCCTCCCAGTACGCGCAGCAGCGCCCGGCGCAGCCGAGCCTCCCCGTCCGGGCAAACCTGGCCCGTGCGGGGCAGGTTCCGCTGCCGCCCGGCCCTATCAGGCTTCTACGCTCTCGGGCCCCGCCCGGCCTTGGCACCGCCTCGGGCTGACGGGCCCGCCCCGTCCCCAGTCTGCTCTCGTTCTGCAGCATGGAGCCGCAGCTTGGCTTCCGCGGGCGCCGGGCACTGGTGACTGGAGCAGGGAAAGGTGATGGGGGGCTGGGGCCGGGGCCGGGGCCCGCGGAAGCGCGGGCTGACGCCGTCTCGCCGCAGGAATCGGGCGCGCCGTGGCCGTGGCGCTGAGCAAAGCCGGGGCCCGTGTGACCGCGCTGAGCCGCACAGCGGCGGACCTGGAGAGCCTTGCCCAAGAGGTACCGGCCGCCCCCCGCCTCGGGACCTACCGGGACCCCTCCAGGGCCGCCTTCCCCTCCCGCTATAACCTGGCTGGGCCCCGCCGCGCCTCCCGCTCCCCTGCGGCCGCCCGACTCACGGAGGCCGGTCTCACCGCAGTGCCCGGGCATCGAGCCCCTGTGCCTGGACCTGGCCGACTGGGACGCCACGGAGGCGGCGGTGGGCGCGGCAGGGCCGTTCGAGCTGCTGGTGAACAACGCGGCCGTGGCGGTGCTGCAGCCCTTCCTGGAGGTGACGCGGCAGGCCCTGGAGCGGTGAGTGCCGCGGGGTCAGGCCCCCCCCGGCCTGTGCTGGGGGCCGGCGCAGCGGACGCTGCCGGCCGAGCCTCAGCCGAACCCGAGCGCCAGAATATGGCAACACTGTCCGGAAACGGGTGTCTCCTAGAAAGGAAGCAGCTGTGCAACGGCACCAGACATGCACACGTTTAGAAATGCTAGCGTTCCCCTCCTTGATGAAGCCGTCCGGTTGCCACTGCTTGTGTCTGTTTTTCTTTACTGTATTTCACACTTCTCAAAATCACCTTGCTCCCTGTAAGCACTGAAAGGAAACCAAGTAAAGCACTGCCTAGTCCAGCTACTGAATAGCCAGAGCCTGTACTTTGATCTCGGAGAAGGTGGTGTGCAGACACCATCCAGCCTGCGTAGGACACAGGAGCACCTTTCACTGTTAATCAAGCTCAGAGCTTCCGGTCTAGCTGCCACCCAACCTCTGCTAAATCCAAAGGCAGTTGTTATTAAGATAATTCAGATATAGAGAAGACAGAGTCAGGTAACGGAGTATAAAATTATTATGGTGGGAAATTAAATCTGCTTGCTGCAGTAACATAACTGTTTCTCAAAAGATCCATAGTTCCAGTCAGGGGGCTAAGCTTTAGGATACAGGATGTGGTGAGTCTGCTTCCTTCTGAGAAGATGGGTCTGTGTTAAGAGTGGCTTTTGCAGGTCTGTAATCAAGGATTCATTTGTGACTAGACTAAAACGTATGAATTCCACTGAGTGTTCTGGAGAGCTAGCAGGTAAAAACCTGACCAAGGAAGGGCTGTGTGACCCATCCTACAGATGTGCTGTTTTAATGCCATATGAAGGGTTTGATTGACCTAGGAAGAATCACTGGCTGAGGACCAGGACTCACAGTTTAAACTTCAATAGAGGAACTACATCAGGCTGCTCAAGACCAGAGTCCTGCTGGACTAGTGCCCCTCCCGCTGCATCCAGTGAATGCTTTGCTGCTAGGAGTGTGCCCGTTCTTGCTGGCTGCTCAGCTGCCGTTCCTGCCCCTGTTCTAGAGTACCACCAGCGTTTCCAGGACAGCAGCAGCAGCACTTGGTCTCTGCTGCCTCCCAAAACAACTCCTCTCTGACCTGCAACCACTCTGCAACTTTTCAATTTGATTTATTTGTAGGTCTTTTGATGTGAATCTTCAGGCTGTGCTTCATGTCTCCCAGGTGAGAAAGAATTGTCACTGCAGGTGTTTCCATGAATAGCAGTGACTAAGCTGTTCTACAGAGTGGGGATAAGTGTCCTCTGTGGGGACTAAAGGGACTGTAACCCAAAGTTAACCCTACAATTTGCCCTTTGTTCTTGCTTAGACTCTCTCTTGTAAGTGGAAGGCAGGGAGGACTTACTTCCTCCAGATGTTTTTGCTCTTTTGGCTACCATAACAGCCAGCAAGATTCCTTCTGAATGAAATAATAATTTCTCCTGTTATAATTCTGGCATCTATTTGTTTTCTCCCCCTGCTTCCAGATTGTGGCTCGGCAGATGATTGCACAGGGGGTGGCAGGTGCTATTGTGAACGTCTCGAGCCAAGCATCTCAGCGTGCTCTGCGGGATCATGCTGTGTACTGTATGTACACGTGGTTTAGCAGCACCCCTCATATTTCTGACTGAGCTGGAGCCCCACAGCCACCAAGCTGCTGGCTGCCAGCTCTGGGTGGTGAAATACTTGTGTGTGTTCCAGACCAGGCTCTATGCACTTAAATGCCTCATGTTCTTCCCTTCTCTTGAAGGTTCCACAAAAAGTGCTTTGGATATGCTGAGCAAGGTAATGGCAATGGAACTAGGACCCCACAAGGTAGGATATCTTCTGAGACAGAAGTGTGAAAGCTGAACGGAGCACTTCAGAACAGCCTGGTTAGATCTTGCTTGATCCCAGATTCGGGTTAACACTGTGAACCCCACAGTGGTTATGACTGACATGGGGAGAATTAATTGGAGCGACCCTCAGAAATCTGCTGCCATGATTGATCGAATTCCACTGGGAAAGTTTGCAGGTCAGTGGTATAATTTGTTGTATCCAAGCCTTCCCTCTAATTGACATCACAGCCATAAGCAACTTGCTGCTTTTGTGGGAAAAGTTGCAGCTTTGCTGAATGGCTGTGGCCAAATTCCTGAAGCATTTGATGAGCACAGGATGAGAATCAACCTTATCTCCTCTCCTCTACAGCCCTCTTATGTTAGAAGTGAAATGCACACTATGACTGGAAGGGGAGCATAAGCACTTGCTTTGAACTAAGTATCGCTTGATCACAACAAAGACTTTTTGATGTCCAGCTCTCAGCCACACTGCCCTGCATGCTGTGTCAAGCACAGGTGGGGGGGTGGAGATATCTGCCTGCTCCCATTACGCCTAGAGGCCAAAGCATACTTTTTGGGATGTTTGTTTCTCTAGTACAATTTGAGAGGTGCACTGGATGTTCTCTGTGTTTGATTCCAGAGGTGGATGATGTAGTAAACAGCATTCTCTTCCTGCTGAGTGACAAGAGCGCTATGACAACTGGCAGCTCACTGATGGTTGACGGGGGATTTCTTGTCTCCTAAGATGACACCTGCATTTCACACCTGGCCTTAATTTCCATACTAGTACTTCATAGATGTAAACCGCATAGGAAACAATGACACAGACCCAGTCTTGCTGGAGAAGAGGGGCAGCAGGCTGGAAGCTTTATGAGAAGTGTGGCAGAAAACTACCTTTAGAAGATGGCTATATAATAAAGCTCACGTACACCGTCATGGAGAATGTTTATTGCACCAAATAAGGTTTTATATTGTCACTCTACATGATGATTAGAAATTGGACCTGTCTTTCTTCCAACCCTATTCCCCCAAAACAACCCTTGAGAAGCGATCCCTATTCCATCCAACTCCATAGAGCTGGCCTGCACTTTCAATGGGAAGGGAAGGAAGAAGCTAGCAGACTCCTCATTGCTTCCTTTGTTGTCTTTAGTAGAAAAAAAACAAAACAGAGGCAACAACCACAGCCCTGCTCTGCAGAGACTGGATTAAGAGGGGGGGAGGCTCTGCTAAAGCCTGATGGGGGGGAGCAGCACCACGCTCTCCTAGTGTGTGCACACACAAAAAGGCAAATACACCAATTGCACAGAGCTGTTTCATTCAGTGAGTTTAGCTAGTACCCAATAAAGCACCTAATAGTTACTTCTTCAGCTTCATATCTCATTTACTTCGACTCCCAGGCTGGTCGTGATTTCTTTAACAGTCTCAGGTACGTATCTACTAGAGCACCTATTTGTTACCTGCTGGACACAGCAGGCTGGGCAAAGAGAGACCCTACCACTCTCCCAGCTGCTCTTATCATACAGCACCATCATATCAGCTTCCTCCCCACTCCCACAAGGATCCTCACCACCTGTTTCACCTGCAGGTTGTAGCCAGGTGTTTCCAAGACAGGATGGATGTCTCAGCCTTTTAGCTTGGGGGTTCAGGAGAGCCAAAACAGCCTATTGCCCCAAGAAGCTACTTTGCCTTCCCCACTGTTCCTCCCCTGGGGGCTGTACAGCCCCAGCTAGTCTCCTGCCCCCACTGCCCCTTCACATCAACACTGACGTTAAATCAAAGAGACATTTAAAAAACACTGACTTCGTACATGATGAAGGGCCCTACACATCCCAGCCCCCTCCAGAAACATCCAGCTAATATGCAATCTGTCAGAGGACAGCAACATGCTGAGCCAGCGCCTCCACCACAGCCCTCAGAACACAGTACACTTTTTGCCAGGCTTCTTCACAGGCGGTGGGCAGAGCACAGCCCGGATGGCTTCATCAAACACTGTCTTCAAGCCCCGCTGTGTCAGGGCAGAGCACTCCAGGTACTTTACTGACCCTAGGGGGAAGAACGAGAGCTGCAGCTCAGCCACTCCAGTCCGACCAGGACATACTGTCCCTCAGACACTCCAAAGGTAAAGCTCAATGCCACAAAGATCTGCCAGTGCATAACTCACCAATCTCCCGAGCCATGGCCAAACCTTGGGGGTAGGTGATGGGAGCCAGTTTCTTATCACGTAACCTTTCAATGGTGTCTTTATCATCCCTCAAGTCCAGCTTGGTGCCCACCAGGATGATAGGTGTATTTGGGCAATGGTGTCGGACCTCAGGGTACCACTGAAACAAGAGAGGCATGGTAAGAAAAGTAGCTGTAGTGGTAGCTGCAACAATGAGGATGCATTTATGATTAGGAATGAGGTTTTTACTACTGTCTGACACAGTGGCAACACCTGAACAGGATACTTGGATACTTCTGCCTGCAGTTCTGAGCACGCTCTGCAGGAAGAGACTGGTGTAGATGTAATTATGAAAGCACTGAGACATGACACCATGACAGACTGCCAGTCAACTCTGCACAGAGTTCTTCCCCTGACTGCTTTTTAGCTTCCAGGACATCTTGCATCTTCTTTAAGATGCAGATTCAGAAAGGCTAAAAATTAGCCAAAGAAGTAATGAATAAGAAGTAGACCTCTCTTAAAGCCTGCAGACTATGACCTTTCTTTACCAAAACACGACTGCTAGAAATTTTGGGCTGGTACATGTGGAGGGGCAGTGGACTCCACTGATCCTTCCCTTCCCCTGTTTCACCCAGAAGTGGAATACTTTACCTTGGCTCTGACATTCTCAAAGGAGGCTGGACTCACAAGGGAGAAGCAGATCAAGAAAACATCCTGTGTGGAAACAAGATGGTCAGCCATGTAGAAAGAAACAGCTAAAGATTATGGAGGGAGGATGGACAGAAAGCCCAATAGATGACAACCTCCTCCCATAAGCAAGGATTTTGGCTGTAAGAAATTCTTCCCTATTAAGGGTGATAAACTAATTGAGAGAGGAAGAGAATGGACTTTTGAGTGTATGATTTCATCTTCTTTTACAGTACTGGGCCTTGCATGTTAAGCACCCGTGGCCACAAATACCTTAACGCTGCTACAGGCCTCACCCCTAGTAGAGGAGCCAGGGAAACACAAGTGACCTGTGGCCCAACAGTTACCTGTGCCACTGAGAGAATAGGAGCATGGCTTGACTGCACAGCAGCCCCACACCATTCCTTTCACATGAGCCTCCCTATGGCATGCATAACTTCAAATGCCATCATGAAGCAAGGACTAGAATATGACAATCTCTTAGGAGAAATTCAGTTGTGATACTCCTTAAACGACCAGAATGATGGCTCCAGCTGCAGGAACACAGACTTCCCTCAAAGGAAAAAAGCCTGGCGGTTCTTGGGAACCTCCCTGACTCCAAGAGAGCAGTTAAAAGCCAGTCCAAGCTCAGCACTCACCGTCTGTGGATAGGAAAGGGGCCTCAGTCGGTCATAATCCTCTTGCCCTGCTGTATCCCAGAGGCCCAGATTCACTGGTTTTCCATCTACCATGACATTGGCAGAATAGTTATCAAACCTGCCAAGGAAGAGTCCCCATCAGTGACAGTCTGGTTGTCACTCACACATCTCCTTATGTAAAATCCAAGGGGGCAGTGAATCGAGAGGACACTGCAGCACAGTTGCAGTGGGGCTTGTCTGCCTTCCTCACATACACAGCCATCCTACCAGCACCCTTCTCGTGTTGGAAGTTCACAATCTGATTTGGGACAGCCTCCCCCCACCTACAAAACCAACTTCTACACCCCCTGCATGCAGAGCAGAAAACAACTGAAGCCCAAGGCCATTACTCACACAGTAGGGATGTATTCCCCAGGAAAGGCATTTGTGGTGTAACTGATCAGCAAGCAGGTCTTCCCTACAGCTCTGCAGGGGGCAAGAGTGACAAGCATTAAGCAGGGCACAGCAGGAAGCCCTGCAGCAGCAAAACTCATCTTCCCCCACCCAACAAGAGGTGAAGTACATAAAAAGTTACCGAGAAAACAAAGTTACCATGTAAGAAAACGAAGCCCTAACAGTCTGGAGCTGGCAGGGACTAGGCCTAAACGCGAACTGTGCGCCTTGCCTGGGCCCTGTGCTCTCCCCCTCTGTTTCCCACCAGCCTCAGAACACCAAGCAAAAGTTGCTCCAAGATGCAAAAGAGAGGGAATAAATTAGGGTTCTGTGCTAAGCTCAACACATGCATAATAATCTATCAAAATGGGTAAACAATGAGGTGAAAAAACATGCACCACCACAATTATTCAAGCTCCTCAGATATAGGAATCCTATGACAATAAATACAAGGGGGGAAATAAGTATCTGTAAACAAAACAGGCTTTAAAATTGACCACTGTCAGTTTGGAAAGAGGTCAGTGTAGATCATTGCAAATACCAGCACAGGGCTTTGCTGAAGGCAGGTGGGATTGATAAGCACATGAGCTTTCCTTAGCCCTGTAGCATCAGTGAAAAGCTTAGTTACAGGAACAGAGGAATCCCATAAGCATAAACAACCTACTTATTACTGTGAAAGCTGTGAAGCGAGGACAACCTTCCAGAGAAACAGAATCATAGTGCCAGTGACAGGGAACGCTGTCTCTTCAGTGGCCAAGTGAAGCTGAACAGCCAACAGAGATGGGTATCCTCTACCCAGCTCTGTAACTGAAGTGGCACAAGGAAAGAATCCAGGAGTAAGTGGAACCCCACAGTCCCACACCAGGATGACACAAAGCACAGCAAGAACCATCACAGCAATCCACCCAGGCTTTCCCTGAGACCAGGTCCCATCTCTTGGAGAACAGGGAGGTTGCATAAGGAAACTGCACTGACTTCCCTCCTCAACCCTGACCTCTCTCCCACCAGTCAGGAAAGGCACACGACTCACAAATCCCACATATACCCGTGACTGAAGAGTTTTGCTGAGTTAATTTAGTGTCTGCCCTGTCAACGTGCTCTTAAAGCAAAACTCTGGACTGCAAGCCTTCAGCTGAAGTCCACTTCCATCACGCTGTGCTGCTGCTCTCCCCTCCACAAGGCTGTGCTGTTTCGCACGGTCGCTCTCTCTCCTGTCCCCCTCCTTTTGCCCTGCAGACTAGAACCCCACAGGACTAAGCTCAAATGTACCTTCGAGGGGGTGACATGCATGAGAAGGTAGAAAGACCAGTCCCTGCCTAAGACCAGTTCCCATTTAGCTCTCCATATCTCAGCTCTGTGCTTGGCGTGATGATCAGCAAACAGGAATTGTGAGGAAAAATAGGCAGGACAAAGTAAGAAAAGTTACGGAGCAGCATAAATCTATTGTGTGCCTGCAGCTTGCATACATGTGTGTTCTCAAAAAAAGGCTTATAAGAAAAGCCTAAAGAGCAAGAAGGATGATGTGAGGCACATGGTGAAATCAGAAACAGCGTCATATTTAACCTTAAAGCACAAACAACAAAAGGAGGTAAGAGAGAAACCTCGGAACATCTTTAGCGAGGCCTTCGGGATGAATCCAGTTTGCACGATGAAAAAGGCAAAATGACAGCACCAAACAAAACAACGAGGAGACAGATTTAAACCCCACGGAAAGAAGGTGTCTGTGCTCCAGGCAAACCGCGAGCCGTGACGCTGCGCAGCGGCTAGGGACGAAGGCCCAAGCTTATGAACTGAACAGGAAGCGGGACGCGCGGGGAAGGACCGCAGCGGCCGCCGTGGCAGCAAGGCCCCAGCCTCCCTTCCGCTTGGCCTCGCCTCACCGCTCCGACAGCCGCGGCTGCCGGTGGGCGACCGCGGCGCAGGGCCGCAGGAGCCGCCTGCAGCGCTGCTCCCCAGGTGAGGGGCTACGGCGGGGCCAGGCGGTCGCGGACAGGCTGGTGCAGCCCCGCCGGGCAGCGGGCCGGGCCTCGCCGCCGAGCACCGGGCCGGGCCTCGCCGCCGCGCCTCCCGGTGGCAGAGCCGGTTCCCCCGTGCCGCGGGGCGGAGCCGCGCCGGGTCCTCCCTCGCTCCCTCCCTCGCTCCCTCCCTCCTCTCTCGGCTCCGCCAGGCCCGGGCCCGCTTTGTGCGGGGCTGCGGAGGGTCGAGGCGCGGCCGCCGCGCACTCACCCGTCGCCCACCACCACACACTTGATCGCCTGCATCTGCCCGCGATGGCGGCGCCGCCGCGACTCCGCCGCAGTGACAGCCCACGCGTGCGGGGCGGGGCCGAGCGAGCCGAGCCCAGCCGAGCCCTGCGCCGGGGGCGGGGCCTCCCGCTGGCCCCGCGGCGCTGGGGGCAGAAGGCGGAGCTCACGCGGCGCAGCCGCGGGAGCCAACGCGCGTGACCCGGGCTACCCTCACCCGCCGGTGGCGGTACCAGCCCGGAAGCTCGCGCGGCGCTGCCCGGCACCCGCAGACCTCCCCGCACCGGCTCCCTCCCTCCCTGGGAGCTGCTTCCCAGCGTCTACCTCGGGTCAGAACCAGAACCAGAACCTGAACCTGAAGCCACACCTCGCCTATCCCTCCCTGCAACAGCCTTTTAGCCCCAGGCCAGACTAGCAGGTTCATCACAGTAAAACAGCAGAAGGGTCCTCCACCCACATCAGCCAAACATCAGCTCGCCCCTGTCCGGCGTTACAGCAAAACGCAAAGCTCTTTATTAAAAACAAAACAAAACCAAACCCCAGTATGAAAAATCATACAAATCAACCAGTCCACAGAGAGCTTCACCCTCCCGCTGCCTCTCAAAACACATACAGCAAGTTCACTTCTCCCACTACAGACTCACTAGAGAAACAAAGCGAAGGCTCTCACACTGCTGCTTTGACAGAGGTCTCCACTTTCTCCGATTCAGGTCCTAGCCCCCCATCGTCTTTCTCCACACCACAGGAGGTCATGTTGACAGAAAAGGAAGCACGTTCTCACAGTTGTGCTCTGAGAAGCAACACCCCAGTGCATTGGAAGCATCGCTCCTCTGCAGGGCAAGGCACAGAGAACAGCTCTCAGTTCGAGGATCCCAGGAAGCCAGCAGGACAGTTCTGGTATTTGCCATAGTGGAATTAAATCCCTGATGCATTTTGGCTGTGAGGGCTCCAGCTCACAGCAAGGAAGCACAGATGCTGGCCCTGACCACCCCACCAGGGTGTGTAGAGGCTTAAACAGGCCAAAGCCCAGCTGCCCAATAAGGATACGGCCAGCACTGCACAGTAGCCCCCCTCTGCACAGCTGGTTACGTACAGTGAATACCTTCTGCACTCCACTACCACCAGGGCCATGAGGAGTAGGGTGAAGGGGCCAACATGAGCCCTGCCAGCCACTGCACATGTGGGCAAGAATTGGTATTTCAGCAGCTTTGGGACCCCATGAGCAAGGTTTCACTTACAGGGAACTGTGAATGCTGCTCGCTGCCTGTCATTTACCAGGTTTCGTTGTGAACAGCCCTGGCATCCAAACAAATGCTTCAGAAGGATCACTGCCCAGGGAACACAGCCCCTGGTAACCACAGAGTGTGCCAACAGACTCGTGATGTACAAAAGGACACGAACTACTTCAAACAGTGCAGCAGTGCAGAGGAAAGGCTCTACATCAACAACTCAGACCCATGAGCCTCCATCCCAGCCCCAGACAGTTGTTTCCTCCTCTCCTTTATGTGGTCAGGAGCAACATTTCTGAAGAGCAAGAGAAATTTTCTGTTTGCAGGCCTCTGTGTCACCCTACTCTGCCAAAACTGTTTCACTGAGAAAGAAGAGGCTGTACCTGAGTTACTCACCTTCTTCCTGACAGCAGGTATCTGGATGTCTTAAGCAATGCTCTCATTTCCTAGAACTGTGGGTTCCCAAGGGGGAGCCCTGCACATATGCCATGATGGCATTCTGTAAGAAACTTGCTCTTTGGGCCTCTTCTTCCCTCATCCTGGAGATGTCAGCCTCTTTCATTCTCAGCTTCTCCAGGAGCACAGAGATTTCACTTTCTTTGTCCAGCATTGCCTCACGGTGACTACTTGATAGGGCTGCAAAAGAACAACAGTATTAGTAAAGAAAATTAGGGTGTCCCTAGAAATAACAGGAACTTTTACAGTTTTACAGGAAATTAGAGCCACAGCCAAAGGCAATGGAAACAGGATGATCAACAGGCAAATGAGAAAAGCTGCATGGGACACTGCGAGAGGGTTTGCACAGACAAGATGTTACAATTCACTGTGCAGGAAATCCAAATATTTTGCTTGATGCGTGGCTTTGGGTAGTTATGTGAGTCCTGGCCCCTATAAAACGAAGACAAGAATCCCTGCAAATACATCAGGATGGAGGGTAAAATTCCTGGTTGTGTACACAGGCAGGAAGCACCACTGTCATTACCTGTAAATGTAGCTAAGTTCTAGGCCCACTGTAGGGTAACTCAGCACTACCACTTGAGAAGCATGAAAGGATTCATCACCTTTCAGCTGTCTCTCCAGGGCTGCAATCTTCTCTCTCAGCCCATCCTGTGCTGTGCGTTCAGCCTGCAGGTGTCCAATCTGCTCCTGTAATTCCACTTTCACCTTATTCACCTCTGTCACTTTCTCTTCTTCCTTACTGTTCAAGTTCTGAGACAGAAAGACAAATACATTACTAACGAACAACTTTGGCAACATGCTGCGCCCCTGTGGTAAGAATCTCTCTACTCCAGTCCAAATCACCTGCTGAAGCTCTTCTAGCCGCCTTCTGAGCCCATCAGCATGCAGGCTCAACTGACTGGCTTTGGCTTGGGCCTCAGCAACCATCTGTTTTTGCTTAAGGCAGCAGTTCTGAGCTTCATCCCGTGACTCAGTCATCAGCCGCAGCTTCTCTTCCAGGTGTTCTAGTCGTTGCTGCTGTAAGACACAAACCAAAATGAAAATACATCAGTCCCATTCCATTCCTGCAAAGGGATTCTCCCCTTTTTGTTCCCAACACAGTGAACCCTTGGTTGAGTCAACTGGCACTGAAGCCATAAGAGACTCAGCACTTCTCCCCTGCCTTCAGAGGTGAATCCAAGCTGCTTTCTCTTGCCCTGGAAAACATTCTGATGGCAATGCTGCAACACCCAGCTCGCCCCCAAGAGACAGAGGCATGTCCTTGGCAAAAGCACCAACGCCGGTGCCAGCGTTCAAAACTAATGCTTTATCATCATTTCCTCCATATCCTAAATGGCTCAAAACCTCTGGAGGCAGCTAAGCAAGTTCTGTGCCCCACCACAGACACACACAGCAGCTTTTATTTGTTTGTAAACACAGTAAAGCCTTTTCTTTTGTGCTGTTACACTAAGTACACATTCTAATAGCTTTGGTGTATTTTCCTTATCCTTTGTTCTCTTTCATGGGGTGTTGACTTCACTGCCATTTACACAAAGTTCAATTGTACAGTGACTTTTTCTATCCATCGGCAGTAGCCACCTGCAGAAATTTCTCTGAGTCCAGAGAAACAGGAGCAGCCCATGAATGCTGCTGTAAAACAGACGGACTGACATCTGGCTGCTAGCTTCAAATGTCAAATGAAATCTGCTATGACAATATCCACATCAATTCTGTTACTACTGAAAAGCACAGAGCAGGTGGGGATAGTGGTTACATTCCGCAGACAGTTCAAAGCAGATTTTTCATTACTCCTTCCTCAGAAATCACACTGTTTGCAGGTCAGTGAAACCAAGGGCAGGAAGTTACTCAGCAGTTCCCCAAGACAAAAACACAGACTAGGCAGCCAAATGCACTCCCTCCCACAGACAGGTCTTGTCTTTACCTCCTCCAACCGTGCCCAGTTCCGGACTTTTATTAACTCCTCCTCTGCCTGGCCTCGCTCAGTGAGTGCAGCTGCTTTGGTCTGGCTCAGCTCCTAGCACAGAAACATGACAGACAGAGAAGCTGCATCACTGCAAGACTCACCAGAAAACATGAGCAGCTTCCCATCGCAGGCTACACACAACACAGCCGTCTCCCTCACTCAGGGGCAGGACAAACAAATCCAGATTACATATACAATTTCACATCCCATGATTGCCATCTAAATTCAATGAGAATTTCAGTCACATGAAGCTATGTAATGGGTGAAACTTTCTGAAGACAGTGGAATAGGAGAGGGTAGCACTGGATCTAGCTGGAGGAACAGGTAAGGAGAAATATGCTACCCTTCTTGGAACTAGATGGGAAACTTGAGAAGTCAAATCCTGGTAAGAAACTAATCATCTTCAACAGAATCTTTATTTTTGTTTTATCAGAATCTAAAGGTTTCCCCTTGGAACCTTCTCCTTCCTTAGTCCAAAGCAGTAAAAATACTGAAGTAAAATTTTAGCTGGTAAACTGCCACTTTCTGTTCCTCCCTAAAGCACATGACAATTTTTACATAGGTTAGCAACAGAAGACTCCACAGAGCTCCCCTGGCAGCCTTCTGCTGCCACCACTACCTAAGCATTCCATTGCACCTGGAACATCTATGCTCACCTCCTCCAGAGCTATCCTGATGGCTTCCAGCTTCTGGATCCTCTCCTGCATGGAATGTTCACTGGCCTCCATGTGCTGTGTCAAATGATTCACCTGTAAAGCAGAAGAAACCATTTAAGTAAGTGCCAGAAAACCACTCCTGTCTCCAAGCATAGCAGCACGGCTATTCAGCACGAGAATGAGCATCCTCTCAGTGACACACCCACCACCGAAGAAAAATTTATCTCCACCAGAGCTCCACTAGGACACTGCAATATAGACAGAAGCTGCCCTCTGCAAACTGGGAATATTAGACAGAGATCTCTTCCAGGCCAAGATGAAAGATGGAGTCTGGGTTCTCATCTTCAAGAGGTACAAACAGCCAAATATTCATTTTCCACTTGTAACATGGCTAAAATCTTCCTGTCCTGAGTCTTTTCTTACAAGGCTTCAAAATCTTCAATCTATTGGTGTGATTTTATTTTTGAGACATTTCACACCCAGTAACACTCCAAAAAGAACCTGTCACAGCCTCTTGTGCTGTCCACTCAGACAGAACCCCCCTGAAACATAACTGAGAAGGATCTAGTAAGCTGACCCCCCTTCAAGGCATCTTTATTTCAATAAGCATGATGAGACTGCTTATTCGTAACTACTTCTGTGCAAGACTGACACAAGAACCAGTCTCCAAGGCTCTAGCAGAATCAAATACCACTCTGGCCCATACTCTTGCAAGCTACAAAATCTTACTCGCTGGTAGAATGTGCTGTGATCTCTTCAGCCAGGCTTTGCTTGCAGAAATGGCCTGTTATTCCCAAGGAAGCCTGAGGCCACTAATTTTTAAGCTTGTTTAAGAGCGGCTGACAGCAAACAATGACCTCCAGTGGCGCCTGTATGTCAGGAGCAAAGTGAGACTAACCTCAGGATGCTGCAGAAACCCCATTCTTACCTCTTTCACCCGAAGGGACTCCATGTCTTCAAGGCTTTGTTTAAATCTTCTCTTCTCTGTCTCCAGGTGTTCTGCAGATCAAAAGCAGGCGTATCACAATTCTGGCATTATTTATACTCTATCACAAACTCTTCCACCCTTCCTCCTTGGTTGCCTTACCCATTAACTCATGGACAGTAATCCCAACCCATAGGTGTCCACGAGCTCTTTCTGTTCCTCCACCTACCCTCAGCCTGCATGGTCCGCAGCTTCAGCTCTGCTGTTGTGTTGGTCAAGTCTTGTTTCACCTGGAATAGCTGATCCTGCTGAATTTTGCACTTCTTTTCCAACTCATCCACCTAAAAGAAAATTACCACCACAAAGGATTTTCTTCTCCTGTTAGCAGAGAAATTTGGCTGTACAGAACAATCAGCAGAGACACAAACAAAGATCCAAGTAGAAGCATATATACACAGCAGAACTGAACAATGTCCAGATCCTGCTCCTCAGCCTTGTACTTGCTCTCCTACCTGGTTTCTTAGAAGCAGATTTTTCTCTCCAGCTGCAGACAAGTCACGAAAAAGCTTCGCTTCCCGATCAGCACCTTCCTGCAAACAGAATCCTGATTATAGAATAGAATCATAGAATAGTTAGGGTTGGAAAGGACCTTAAGATTATCCAGTTCCAACCCCCCTGCCACGGGCAGGGACACCTCCCACTAAACCATGCCACCCAAGGCTCTGTCCACTATGAACCTGTTCTCACCATAGTTCTTGCACCTGCCAAATCCAACCTACCCCCTGAATACTACGGCTCCTCTCCGCACCCAGCATCACCTCTCTAACTTGACAATTTTTGTCACAGCAGCTGTCGTTAAACCACTAGTGTTAAAACATCATGCTCACCTACCCCATCCAGGCTCCTCCAAATCTACACAAACCACATGTGACCTGGAACCCTGCTCTCAAACCTAACTAGGAAACTAGGACTTATCCAGCTCACCTGTTTTTGCTGCTGGAGCTCCTTCAAGTGGCACTCAGCCATGCTGGTTTGTTCCTGCCTCATAGCACTCAGTAGCTCTCCCAAGTTGTGCACCTTCTGCTCAGACAGAGCCAGGGCAGCTTCAGTCATCTGCAGTCTACACAGAGAAACACTTTCCAGAGTCCTTTCTAAGGGACACGCTTCCAGTGATCTCTCTATACTACATGGTACAAGATGTTAACACATCTTTGGCAGCAGATGAAACCTAGCTAGCTAAATCTGTACAAGGGACACATCCACACTGACACACAGCAAAATGAAATTATCTTTATCTAAGAGGAATTGAACAAACCAGGCTTATCAGTTTGAAGTCTAACCTCTGTCATGTGGATACAGCTCTACACAATCTAACATTGCTTTCAGGCAGCTCCACCTCATTGCTCCTGAGCACACAATCTTGCTGGTCATGTCCCTCCCTATCTGCAGCAGTTCTCAGAGAACACTACCAAATGCCAGGGAAGCAGGTACAGGCTCTTGCCATGCTGCAAACTATGCAAGCAACATGCCCCCATCCCAACCACACAATCCTTTTCTTCTTTTCACCCTCTGTAATTCACTTGCTCTTACACAAATGCACTATAATTTTACTTAAAAGCAGGCCAAATATCTAGCATGGCAAACACAATGGCCTGGGTAATTTCTGGATACTCCTGCAGAACTAAGTGACACTGTAAGCCACCCACTCTGAAAGATTATCCCCCTTCTTAGCAGCTCTGCCCAGGATGGCCCAGACAGCACAGAACAGTGGGAAGCCAAAGGTTCTCCTCCTCCATACTTGGCTTTCAGTGAATTCATAATAGAGTGCTGCTCATTCAATGCTTCCTGCAGCTGGCTGACTTGTGCTGCAGACATCCTGCATGGGGGGGGGGGGGGGGCGCAAAGAAAAGGAAAAGAAAAAGGTTGGTGATTCCTGCCAGGAAATGGAGAGGGCCCAATTCTGGTATCAAAGAGCAGAAGGCATTCAAAAATACAACTCACCTGTCACTCCTGGCTATTTCTTCTCTCTGCTTATCTATAGTGTCCATCAAATCCAAGAACTGTGAACAAGGCAAACATCAGTGAGGAAATGAAACTGCATCAGTTTCATTTCCATTTCTCATCTTTCTCATTCTAGTGACAGCTGAAGACAGGTCAAGTCACTCTACTGAAAGCAAGCAAATTGGAGGTTTGATGGGTTCCTTAACACATCAGACTGAGGTCACCAAGCGTAGGGACTCTGCACCATTAGGTGTCAGAAGGAAGAGGCTCATATTTCTAGGGGTTTGCCACTTGGAAAATATCAAACCAGTTGCAAAAGAACTACCAAAAGCATAAACATGAGTGAAAAGAACACCAAAACTCCTCCAGAATCCAGAATGAATATGTTCAGAAGGGCATGGGTCATGTGTCCACACCCATACTGCCCTGGATCTGATCCCTGGGTATCCTAGCTCAGAAAAAGGACCCGATTTGCTAAACCATGCTGCGTGCTTGCCCATAAAGATGCACATGCAACTTCAGATGCACAATAATCCTGTCACTGAGTGTTTTATAAAGACACTAAGGGAAAGCATAGAATTCTAGCTGCCCACTGGAACTGCCAACATGTAAGACTGCTGACCTGCTTGGTCTTCTCATCCTTCAGACTCAAAACCTCCTTGCTGAGTATGGATGCTCGGTTCTGTGTCTCACTCAGGATAGTCTGACGGTCTTGGTTGTGATTCATGGCTTGTTCTGATGCAGAGAGAGCAGATCATGCACATGTTTCCAAAGCAACAGCACAGCAAGCACTGCTGGTAGAGACAACACTCAGATGACCCCCTGGCTATCAGAAGCACCAGGATAGTAGCACGTCTCATGCTGGCCCACAGGTTGGGGTGGCATCAAAGACAGCAGCGTATATGGGCTAATTAACAGCCCAGCCACAGGAAGTCATTCAACTCCAGTGATGACAAAGGACGTGCTGTGCTGGCTACATCAAAACCTGGCTACTCAGAGGTGAAGAGAGTCTCAAGTTCTCCTGCGTTCACACACAACAATAACCATCAATTCAACCCTAATTCTTTTTTTTCCTCTTGCTGGTAAGTGACACCTCCAACTTGGCCAGCCCTCCCAAGAGGATACGAGGAAGCAATGTAGGGCACTGTGTAAGTGCTGTTGAGAAAGGGAGGGGAGTCAGGATAGCTCTCTTCTGAAGCAGCAACTGCCCTATATCCCTCAAGTGTTGAAATGGGAAAGGACTTAGTAATTTTCTTCCAGTGCAACAAGTAATACTTACCCACAGCTTTTAGGATATCACTAGGAACATTGTTCCCAGCCAGTTCCAACCTCTTCAGGGTCTTATTGGTGTGCAGGCAGTTCAGCAAAGCTCGGCCACCCAGAAGCCCAATATTATTCCAACGCAAATCTATACAGAAAGTGAATTTTGAGGCCAGTAGTCACAAATCTGCTGAAAAACACAGGCCTCAAGAGAAACAATGCTCCTTACACATCTACAAGCATGGCCAACAATCCCAGATGGTCCCAGCACAAACACAGGTGAATACTGTCTCCCTTCTCAAGACAAACGAGAGGGAGGGAAAATGACAGCCAAAGAAGGCAAGGCAAGAATGAACTTTCAGTGCAGTGAAGTGCAAGAAACCCTTACAATTCAACAGGGATACAAATGTGCCTCTTAAATTTTCATCTCATGAGCCTCCCTTTCACAACCAGAATCTGTGGATGAGGAATAACTGGCACCAATAGCCACACGTTCTTGAAGGAAATTCTGGCAAAACTCCTACTTAGGGCAAAGCAAGTGTGAAGCAAGTCTCAGAGTCTGGCATGAGCCATGCCAACAGCATCCACAAATGGGAAGGCACCCACTCCCACCTTCACTAAGGACTATTCTGCTCCAAGCACACAATTCTTCATCTCCAGATTTGGTTCCAGAGATTCCAATTACAGCTCCCACTCTCCAAAGGCCATGGCACCATGAGCTCTACTCCCTGCACAAAGCCTGCAAAGCACTACAGACTGATGCAGATTAGGAATGATGCTTAACCAGCTGGCAGAGATCAGGGCAGGCTGCAAGAAACCTGAAGATATACGTGCGTGTGCTTGCATATACAAAGGCAAACACAGAACCATCACTCTTACCCAGCTCCTGAAGGCTGGCATTTTGTTTCAGTGCCATGGCCAGTTCTCCAGCACCCTGATGGTTGATCTGGTTACTGCGCAGATCCAGCCGCTGGAGAAAGCCGTTTGCTCCCAGTCCCTGGCAGAAACATGAGAAGCCCTCCTCCCCTATGCCAAGGCTGTTCCACTCCAAAATTAGGCTAGGGAAAATCAGGCAGGATTGGAGTTCATGAAATAAAAGGAGAGTTGCAAGAGCTTGAATTATTCCAGAATCACAGTACCCATTCAAACACCCATCTCTGCTCACAGACTCAAGTTTCAGAAAGCAGGATCCTGCATCCTCCAAAAGGGTTACTCCAGTTCTCACTCCTTCACCTGTCCCATCCCCCATAAGAAACTGCACTTGACATTCCTCCTACCTCAACCAAATGCACTCCCATTCATTTTCTTATGCTGTGTGCTATCTAGCAGGACTAAAAGAGAGGTAGACACAGGTTTTTACCTCCTGATGGATTTGTTCTGCCTAAGAAGTTTTCCCAAAGCCTCGGCTCCCATGGTTCGCAGGTTATTTCCCTGAAACAGAAGCCCCAGGTGATCAGCAGGCTATGACCCAGGTACCCCATAAACACCACCAGGCACATGCACTGTAATGGGGATGTCAGTCTGTCAAAGATGGTCTGAGTAACATTTGTTACTGAAGAGGAAAGAGCCTGAGAGGAGCGGGAGACACACGCACTGCTGGGATCACACAGGACCAGTGGGGCGGGAAACGCTGATTTGAGATAAGCAAAACATTTTACATACTTCATTCAAAAGGGCTCGACTGGCACCAGCACAGGGGAGAAGAAAGGTATGGTGGAGTTTAGGACTGTGGACTCGAGAGAACAGCTGTGCCAAAGGACTACAGACAGAAAGTCAGTCTCACAGAAGAGTAATAATCACATCTGAACTTCCAAGCCCAGGCCAGCTGAAAGACACGGGCAAGCTGGATAAACTCTGCAGAAGCACAAGTCAAACAACTAGTAACTCACTGATTAATACAGCAGCCCAAAGAAAAGCCTACATATGCCTCATCTGACCAAGCAGCAATCCACACAAGATAAACAGCAGTAACTTCCTATCAAAACTGAATAAAAATAGACAAAGATGAGGTACAAAGTAACTTGGGAGAGTTGTGACATTGTGTTAGAGGCAAGGACTGAGTCACTTGAGAACAAGGACTGTATGGAAATACATATCTTGTAGAACAACCCTGCACCAGGACTGTCTATTTCTAATTCTTATTAAGCTTATACTCCTGTTTCCTTCCCCACCTTTTGATCTTAATTTTATTTGAACAGACTCACCTTCAAGTCCAACAGTTTGACCGTGGTGTTGGAGCAAAGACCACGCAACAGAAGCGTTACACCTGAGTAGAAAAAGACAACGTTTATTTCAGAGGCATAACCCTCCACCTAAGCCGAAGGGAAACCATCCTTCCTAACAGCCGGCTCAGGAGCCACAGCTCTGATTCAACACGGGACTGGTGAACGGCCACTGCGGCAGGAAAGCTCAAGTCTGAACGTCCAGGGCAGGTTTCTTGTGTATTCTCAAAAAAAGAAGTGACCAACTGAAGAGCGGCCGGTCCCGCTACGGTACCCGCAGCTCTGAACGTAGCCCATGTCCACATGGGCCGTTCAGACAAGACAGTCGCTGCCTCACCGAACCCGTGCTGGTCCCAGCAGGGACCCAGCAGAGACGCATTCCACCTCCTGCAGGATCCCATCCAGTGCTTACCACGACCAACGGCAGCAGACGTGCAGCCGAAGGGAAAGGACCCTCGGCAGCCGAGGGGTTGGGACCAGCCGAGCCCGCCCGGTACGAGCGCGAGCCACTCCTTCCCCCGCGCCCCGCTGCCAGCTCCAGACCCGCCGCGGCAGCGCCGCCGCCACAAGGACCCGGCGGGGCACAGGGACGGGCACCCCCCGCTCCGCCCCGCCCAGCGTGAAGGGACGCGCGGCCCCGCCGCCAACAGCCGCTCGCTGCGCGGCCAGGCCAAGGCCGGCTCCGGCCCAGGGAGCACCCCCCGCGGCTCCCCCCCACCTTCCTCGCTGAGGCCGCAGTCGCCGAGCGCCACCTCGGTGAAGGGCGCGGCGCCGGGCAGCAGCCGGCCCAGGGCGCCGCACGTCTCCAGCGACAGGCTCTGGGCCGCCAAATCCAGGCGGCCGCGTCCCGAGGCCGCGCAGCGCTCCCGCAGCCGCCGCAGCACGGGCTCCTGCGGCGCCACGCACAGCCGCGCGTAGGCCCGGCGGAACTCCTCCATGGCCGCGGCGCAGCCCCGCCCGCAGGCGAGAGGCGCTTCCGGGGGCGGGGCCGGCGGGGCCATGGAACGGGAGGTGAACGCGGGCGGGTTCCGGAAGGTGCGGCGGGCGCGGGCTGTCGGTACCGGGGGTTTCCCCTCCCCCATCCACGCTTACCTTCTCCCCTCTCCGTGCAGGAGACCGTGGACCGGCTACTCCACCTCCACTTCCGGGACGGGAGGACGCGAGGTACCGGGGTGGCTGCGGGCAGTACCGGGGCGGCGGCGGGCGGTGGTGGGCCGACCCCCACGCTCCGCTTTGGCGTTGCAGTTAACGGCGACGCGCAGCTGCTGATGGTGGAGATGCTGAACGTCTTTGTCCGAGGTGAGCTGCCGGTACCTGGCCCGCGGTCAGCCTGAACCGTGATGGGGGCCCGTGACCAGTTCGCGTGTCGGAACCTCCTTCCCCCGAGCTCCGTTGGAGCTGTCCTAGTCCCACACGCCCCGAGCCCTCGGCGCTCTCCTTTCTCCCTCCCGCAGAAGCGGCGGCGCGAGCTGTGCGGCAGGCGCAGGCCGAGGACCTGGAGAAGGTGGATGTGGAGCACGTGGAGAAGGTGCTGCCGCAGCTGGTACGTACCGGCAGAAGGGCGCAGCTCAGCGCTCTGCTATGGGCGGTGTTCTGGGGACCCAGCAGCGCTGCAGGCAGGTTTGCTCCTCTTTCCTTACAGCTTCTGGATTTCTAGCGTCTGTCCTGCCAGCAGATCTTGGTCTGACTGCATGTGTGGCTCATCCCTGGAGTCCAGATCTAGGAAGAACAGTCTCAACTTCTTCTTTCCCTGCCATTTCGCTTCTGTTTCCTCTCTCCTTTACCAACAAAGCCCTAGGCAACTGTGCCGTCAGATGCTGAGTTTGAAAGGAGGCTGCCGCACGGTTGGTTTGGTCGGCTGAGGCACTGGCTTCCATCTTGAGCCTTTAGCAGGAGCCTGCTCTGCACAGCACAAGAAGATGCTGTTGCTTTCTCAGCTAACGTGAGAAACAGGTGTTACTTCAAAGAGATGCATGGAAAGAATGGCTGGAAATGTCAACCAAACTTCAGGCTCTCATCACCTCAGCAGGCAGCTGTGGCAGAAACTTCAGGTCCAGCTCCAAGCCTGTCTAATGAATAGGTCATTAACAGGAGCTCAGGCACAGGCTCTTGCCAAAAGCAGGTAACTGATCTTTATTTTATAAATAAACAGTGTCTGTCCCTCACTACTTTCCAGTATTTCTGCAGGGCTGTGACATCAAAGAATGCTTGGAACCTTTTAACCATTTGATATTCTCCTTAAGCTGCTTCCTCTGCTATAAATTTGTTCTCACAAAGAAACATCAATAAATTAGAACTGAGTCCCCCTCCCTCGTGTAGGCTTCTTTGATGCAATTAATCATCGAAAGTCAAGTTGCTTCAAAGACTTGCAGAGTTTCCCCCTCACCCACCCTCTTCCCCCAGTCTTTGTAGGACGAAAGGAAAAAGGACAGAATAACAAACAGCATGTGTGAGAATCCCACATCGTGGGCCAGCCTGGCCCCGCGGGCAGGGGGGAGGAGCTGGGAAATAAGAAACCTTACACATGGAGGCAGGACCAATGGAACTGAACTGCCTTTGTTGGGAAATCCACCGCGGCTGCAGGAAAGGCAGCTGACACGAGTGTGCCTGAAGGGTGGGTGCACCGTGCTGGCAGCTTGCTCTGCGATTAGCAACACCCAGCAGTTGATGCACTGACAGCTGGAGCCAGGAGAGGCTCCGCAGGTCACTGGACTCTTTCAGCCAAGAGCTATCAAGGTTATTGCTCAGGACATTAGACACTGGGAGGCTTCAACTAAACCCACGATTTAATACACTTACATGTTCTTTCTGATGACAGTACCAGCTTCAGCAGTGCCCCATCCCTCAGCGCTGCAGCTTCTTTGCCAAGACAGCTGTTTGTGCAGCTGTACAATGAAACCAATGAAGGAACTGACCTAGTTCAGCCTTCAGCCCCACAACCATATGGTAAAAAAAAAAAAAAAAGCAATAGCAAAAAATGTAAGTACTGCTACCTCTGAATGCCCCAAAATGCCAGGGATTAGTTCAGCTACTGTGAAGTGATACTGAAGCAAATCCAGCACATCAGGTATCTGCACGTATTGTTCTGTGGCAGGGTAGGAATCCTTATAGCAGCTACCTCGCTGAAAAGCCTGCAGTTTTAAATATCTGGGTATCTTGTCCCGCACACAGAATTAACTCATACCTTCCTGCCTCTTCCAGATCTCAAATCTTTCCCCCTGTTCTGACTCCTGCTAACATGGAGGTCTCTAAAAGCTGCTGCCCTAAATAGGCTTGAATTCACTTCTCTGACATGCCTAGTCCATGTACAGCATTCTTGGCTGAAGAGGATTGCTGATGTTGATGTTAATAGTAAAGCAGTATTTTAATAGCAGCAGCTAAAACTAACTCTAGGAAAAGAGGAAGATAAGACTTCTGGTCTAGCTGTTGAAGGTACCAATTTTTCATCCTCCTGAAAGAGAAATAGATTAAATTCCATTTGATACATGGCTGAGTTACACAGGGACAAGCATGGGCAGAACTGACTGAGGTATTGCACGTGGTTAGCAATACGAAGCCTCCTAATCCTCACCCCTGTACTTCACCTATGAAACTGACCCAGTAATAATGATATTGTTGCTTGTGTCCCTAAACTTTTTCTCTGTCCTCCCACAGGTGATAGTTATGGTGCTCCCTCTTTGTCAAAACTGGTGGGATCAGAATAGCAACATCAAATCAGTAGCTATGTGATGTACTACCTGGTGTTGTCTTTGCTCTTCAAAAATAAGACTAGTTCATCAGAAAACACAATACAACTTCCTACCAACTAGACTTCTGTTTATTCTAACCCCATCAATCTAAACCACCAGCACAAGTATCTCCACCTATCTTTAGTAGCTGCCCCCTGATATATCCTGCATAAATTCAGCAAAGCAGCTCTAGCTACAGTCTATCTCCAGCCTGACATAACACCTGAACAGACAGTCTTAAGTGTAGGCTCAGCCCACACTTAATTCACTAAAGTAATAAACCTTCAGCACTATTTCAGTATTTTTGGTTTGCTGCAGTATGTCTTTTATAGACTGTCGAGCACCAGAAGGTCTTGCTTTCCACAGGAAGGATTCAGAGTAGCAGCTGTACACGGTGCTCTTGCATTCCCTGCTGCTAGCGGCCGCACACATTCCCTGTTTATGTGTGGGTGTCATAGAAGACATCAATCAACATTTTTTGCTAAAGCATTTTGCTCCCTCCCCTTTGAGCCTCCTTCATCTTCCACCTTTCTTTCATGCCTCCCCCTCCCTCTGAGTTTCTTCAAAGCATCTGGGGGCATTTGGAAGTAATTAGACCTGAAGGGAAATGTTGGCCAAGCTGGGAGACAATGACAAGTGCCAGGAACCCTGGGTGCCCTTTCTAGCCACTTTGAAGTTCATTCAGATGGTACAAAGCTCCAGTTTGCTTTGTTGGGGAAAAAAAAACGGGGGGGGAGGAAGGGAATGAGGCATGACAGGCCCATTGAAAACGGAGCAGGTTCCTGTGAACTGACAGAGGAACCGAGTACTGGGGGAAGAAACATATTATCAAAGAGACCGACAGAAAGGCCTCCTATGGCCAATCTGCTTTATTACATTTACAAATTGTGCAGATGCACACGCAGTTCAGGGAACAATTGTCTATGGCAGGGAAAATGGAAAACATATTACCATAACATGGAACCCCAGCCTCCCAATATGGATCACCGATCCACGGAGATGACTTCAAATAAAATACAGCACCCTGGCTACTGTGGCACTACACAGTTTGCCTCCAGTGTAAGTGCAATTCTAACCAAGAGTATTAAGCTCCACACAACATCTGCAGGAGGCAAGGATCTGGACTAGTGCTTCCTTCTGTACCTGAATAGCACTGCAGAGAACAGAAACTCTGCTGAGAAACACTCGGACCATGGAAGTCCATAGATGGAGTGTCACATAAAGAGACCCTTTTACTGGATGTTTTTTTCCCTGTCACTTTTTATTACATTAACAGATACCTGCGTTCTTTGTCAAAATTCTGGCAACTGAAAACAATAGGAGTGCTGCAGAAGAGGTTCACACGAAAAGCCTATCTGAACTGTTGGAAGTCACCCAAGTACTTCCTGTTTGCTCACTTTCCAGCCATCCATACCCAGAATTATCAGCAGCACTAACACCAACCAGCAAGAAGCAGAGGTCTTACTCTAGACAGCACTTAACTATAGGTAAAACCAAATGGGATTGTGTCTTGCTGCTAGAATTCAGGCAGCTTGACTCGAGTTATCTCTGACGGTAGAACTGGGAAGATTTAAAAATACACATAGAAACAAAGTCCTTCACAGAAACTATATAGGAATTCTTTCCCTCTTAATTCTCTATTCATATTATTTGCATGCAAAAGAAGCCTTAAACCTTCAACCTTGCTTCTGTGGCAATGAAGACTACAAACAGGCCTTCCACTCCTCCAAAAACTGCCATCTGAAATAGCAATTTTCTATTTATTACTAATGTTCATACAGATTAGACCTCTCCAGGGTCACCAACAATTTCTTACACATTCTCAGTGATTTCCTCAGGGAAGGGGCACAGCTGACGCTGATCCAGCAGCCCAGAATGTTTCATCTCTTTCCACCTACAAAACAAACATAAGAGCACTAAAACACTTAACTGGGTAATTTTCACTGTATTGTTTCTCAGTAACATGATCAGGCCAGGTTGGATGGGGCTTGGAGCAAGCTGCTCTAGTGGAAGGTGTCCCTGCCAGTGGCAGAGGGTTGAACTGGACGAGCTTTAATGTCCCTTCCAACCCAAACCAGTCTGTGAAGCTATCTGGTTGTTAAGGGTTCTATACACTGCTGTACTCGGGAAACAGTTGGATAGTACGTAGGAGTGCTTCTACAGGAGATGGAATGGTGAATACATCATAACGTTCAAATCAGGGAACTTCATTCTACATGTCATTA